CTGTAATTTTTATCATAGGTACACTACAACTGTGAGAGACGGAATCTAAAACAAAAATCCAGAAAATCACATTGTATGATTTGTAAGTAATTAATTTGCATTTTATTGCATGACATACAGTGGGGGAAAAAAGTATTTAGTCAGCCACCAATTGTGCAAGTTCTCCCACTTAAAAAGTTGAGAGAGGCCTGTAATTTTCATCATAGGTACACGTCAACTATTACAGACAAAATGAGAAGAAAAAAATCCAGAAAATCACATTGTAGGATTTTTAATGAATTTATTTGCAAATTATGGTGGAAAATAAGTATTTGGTCAATAACAAAAGTTTCTCAATACTTTGTTATATACCCTTTGTTGGCAATGACACAGGTCAAACGTTTTCTGTAAGTCTTCACAAGGTTTTCACACACTGTTGCTGGTATTTTGGCCCATTCCTCCATGCAGATCTCCTCTAGAGCAGTGATGTTTTGGGGCTGTCGCTGGGCAACACAGACTTTCAACTGCCTCCAAAGATTTTCTATGGGGTTGAGATCTGGAGACTGGCTAGGCCACTCCAGGACCTTGAAATGCTTCTTACGAAGCCACTCCTTCGTTGCCCGGGCGGTGTGTTTGGGATCATTGTCATGCTGAAAGACCCAGCCACGTTTCATCTTCAATGCCCTTGCTGATGGAAGGAGGTTTTCACTCAAAATCTCACGATACATGGCCCCATTCATTCTTTCCTTTACACGGATCAGTCGTCCTGGTCCCTTTGCAGAAAAACAGCCCCAAAGCATGATGTTTCCACCCCCATGCTTCACAGTAGGTATGGTGTTCTTTGGATGCAACTCAGCATTCTTTGTCCTCCAAACACGACGAGTCTGACCATATGACATTCTCCCAATCCTCTTCTGGATCATCCAAATGCACTCTAGCAAACTTCAGACGGGCCTGGACATGTACTGGCTTAAGCAGGGGGACACGTCTGGCACTGCAGGATTTGAGTCCCTGGCGGCGTAGTGTGTTACTGATGGTAGGCTTTGTTACTTTGGTCCCAGCTCTCTGCAGGTCATTCACTAGGTCCCCCCGTGTGGTTCTGGGATTTTTGCTCACCGTTCTTGTGATCATTTTGACCCCACGGGGTGAGATCTTGCGTCGAGCCCCAGATCGAGGGAGATTATCAGTGGTCTTGTATGTCTTCCATTTCCTAATAATTGCACCCACAGTTGATTTCTTCAAACCAAGCTGCTTACCTATTGCAGATTCAGTCTTCCCAGCCTGGTGCATGTCTACAATTTAGTTTCTGGTGTCCTTTGACTGCTCTTTGGTCTTGGCCATAGTGGAGTTTGGAGTGTGACTGTTTGAGGTTGTGGACAGGTGTTCAAACAGGTGCCATTAATACAGGTAAGTGGAGGACAGAGGAGCCTCTTAAAGAAGAAGTTACAGGTCTGTGAGAGCCAGAAATCTTGCTTGTTTGTAGGTGACCAAATACTTATTAGTTTTTCTTTAAGAAGCCCTCCTGTTCTCCACTCATTACCTGTATTAACTGCACCTGTTTGAACTCGTTACCTGTATAAAAGACACCTGTCCACACACTCAAACAAACAGACTCCAACCTCTCCACAATGGCCAAGACCAGAGAGCTGTGTAAGGACATCAGGGATAAAATTGTAGACCTGCACAAGGCTGGGATGGGCTACAGGACAATAGGCAAGCAGCTTGGTGAGAAGGCAACAACTGTTGGCGCAATTATTAGAAAATGGAAGAAGTTCAAGATGACGGTCAATCACCCTCAGTCTGGGGCACCATGCAAGATCTTACCTCGTGGGGCATCAATGATCATGAGGAAGGTGAGGGATCAGCCCAGAACTACACGGCAGGACCTGGTCAATGACCTGAAGAGAGCTGGGACCACAGTCTCAAAGAAAACCATTAGTAACACACTACGCCGTCATGGATTAAAAATCCTGCAGCGCACGCAAGGTCCCCCTGCTCAAGCCAGCGCATGTCCTGGCCCGTCTGAAGTTTGCCAATGACCATCTGGATGATCCAGAGGAGGAATGGGAGAAGGTCATGTGGTCTGATGAGACAAAAATATAGCTTTTTGGTCTAAACTCCACTCGCCGTGTTTGGAGGAAGAAGAAGGATGAGTACAACCCCAAGAACACCATCCCAACCGTGAAGCATGGAGGTGGAAACATAATTCTTTGGGGATGCTTTTCTGCAAAGGAGGCAGGACAACTGCACCGTATTGAGGGGAGGATGGATGGGGCCATGTATCGCGAGATCTTGGCCAACAACCTCCTTCCCTCAGTAAGAGCATTGAAGATGGGTCGTGGCTGGGTCTTCCAGCATGACAACAACCCCAAACACACAGCCAGGGCAACTAAGGAGTGGCTCCGTAAGAAGCATCTCAAGGTCCTGGAGTGGCCTAGCCAGTCTCCAGACCTGAACCCAATAGAAAATCTTTGGAGGGAGCTGAAAGTCTGTATTGCCCAGAGACAGCCCCGAAACCTGAAGGATCTGGAGAAGGTCTGTATGGAGGAGTGGGCCAAAATCCCTGCTGCAGTGTGTGTAAACCTGGTCAAGACCTACAGGAAACGTATGATCTCTGTAATTGCAAACAAAGGTTTCTGTACCAAATATTAAGTTCTGCTTTTCTGATGTATCAAATACTTATGTCATGCAATAAAATGCAAATGAATTACTTAAAAATCATACAATGTGATTTTCTGGATTTTTGTTTTAGATTCCGTCTCTCACAGTGGAAGTGTACCTATGATAAAAATTACAGACCTCTACATGCTTTGTAAGTAGGAAAACCTGCAAAATCGGCAGTCTATCAAATACTTGTTCTCCCCACTGTATATGAAACAAATAAGCACAGCGAGAGAGACTTTATTTACAGCATCTGTTCCTACAGTGGACAAGTAGTCGTATGTTTGCCCCATACAAGCTCCATGCTGGCAAAGCCTGTTTACCCTCTGATGAGCCATGGAGGTAACAGTCATATGATGGACCACAGTGTACCTCTCTGAAACAATGAGTGGTACTGCCAACCACATGTCCCTAATCTAAGCACTGTCACCTCAAACATCTTTACACTACTCTATAGGTCACAGTGCCAGTCATAAGTGAAAGGAATATAGTTGTTGAGTTGTGCTGGTAACTTGTAATAACACTCCATTATTGGTCTCTGTAGGCTACATCTCAGATTTGTATTATGTTTTGGAAAAGTAGGCTATTATAAGTCATGTGACTCTATAGCCTACAGAGCATTGAGATTAAGCGTGTGAGATTTGTACAGCAGATTTTGCACTCAACATCAGGTCAATAGACCACAGCCAAGTCACATTACAAGCATGATATTTAAAGCCTAACACTTGCTATCTGAACATTTTCACTTCCACGTTCAGGGTATGAGACACTGCAGCAGAGGCATGGAAGGGGGTTAAAATGGGATGGAAATTATTTAAAATTCATTATCTTCACATTTAATATGAATGCTTATCACATCTCCAGGTATAGGTGCCTAGGTCATAAACTCGTGTATGATATTATTAAACAGTCTTTCCAAACAGGGACACTTCCTCTCTGCTTACCTCATGTCAAAATAAGTGTCCCCCAAAAGTTATTCAATTTTTTGTCCACATATGGCGCACGTGCAGGACTTTTATTTTGACATGAGATAAGCAGAGAGGAAGTGGAACAGACCCACGTTTGGAAAGTCTGTTTAATAATACTATCCTTTAGATATTTGGTCTCAAATTCCCCTGTCATAATGACCAACCGTCCTTGCCACCGGCACAGTAAGTTGAAATGGAATTTTATTTAACTTCTTGCTTCCCACGTACTGTTTTTGTGCAACCCAATACAATTGAAAGCAACGCTAGTGTATACATCCTCGTTGCTAAAAAGCACTTATACAGACCCCAATGAATGATCTTCCTGTACGATACTCTGCTCCTATTCACAGCAGCACACTTACTTAGCCAAACATCAATAATAACAAAGCAATATTATGTTGGAGACTTTCTTTTTTTTACCTTAATGCTCGAAGTGCAAGAAAAGGGAGTAGTCCTCCACCTGGTAGCTAGCAGCTCTAAGAATAACGATTTGCTTCAGCTGTCTGCTATTTCCGGGTTGGTCGAACGTCATTGTGCAACGGACAGGTTCCAACAGCAACACCGCGCGAGAGCTTGCATTGCATGCAAATCGAACACAACTGACCCACGGGCCGCTGCTACAGTAGCCAGATTAGTGAATGGAATTACTGTCTATGTTGCCGAGTTCAAATGATATTTACATTGTGTTTAAAAATGTAACATGTCCTGCAATTTCTTGTTACATTAACGTGTAGCCTAATACACAAGAAAATAAAGAATAGCCCACAGCAATGTTTGCCTAAAAAATGCTGACACATTATTAGGCCTAGTGAACGTGAATCAATAACCACCTCGACAAATAATACATAGGCTATGGTCTAAAGTGGAAAGTAAACGTTAATTAATTTAGGCCTACATTTTTATACAATTAAATTAAAGAATGAACATAATATTCTAAACTAAAGTAGGCTATCATAAACCGCATATGCAAGAAAACTGTTCGAAATACTTTGAAAATACAATTTCTTTCTACCTTCTTTGAAATACTGATCTAACATGATTGGACTAGCCTTAAGCAAGAGCTATCCTCCTTAGCTTTCGCTTGTCCAGTCATGTCTGATATGTGATTAGCCTACTTCAAGAACGGGAAAAAGGAAAGGATGATTGATGGGCTGCACAGGTGCGCTGATTGATGGGGCTGCATTAATAAGTGCACATGCCTGACTTCAATCAAAACATTACTGCAGCCCCCGGCTATAAAATGTCGCCTCAAGTTTACAGCAGTCCTTCACGACCGTGAGGTACGAAAGCATTTAGAGGGTAAAGCAAAACAATTTATAAAAGTCAAATTCGAGCACTATACTCTTGGAGGCTTCTTTGGGTGAAGTTTCTGTTAAAAGAAGCTAGTTGAAAATGGTGAAGGAGAGAACCCACATAAACGTGGTTATCATAGGCCATGTTGACAGCGGAAAATCAACCACCACTGGTCACCTGGTCTACAAATGCGGTGGTGTCGACCCAAGAACAATCGAGAAGTTTGAGAAGGCTGCAGCCCAGGTAAGGAACAATTTGCAAGCAAACTAATTGGAGGAACATTTACATGTATTAAGCAACTACAATTGTAGCTAATTTAAATTCTCTCATCCTACAGATGGGCAAGAGCTCTTTCAAATATGCCTGGGTGTTAGACAAACTGAAAGCTGAGCGGGAGCGAGGAATTACCATTGACATTTCATTGTTGAAATTCAACACGCACAAATACACTATCACAATAATTGATGCTCCAGGCCATCGTGACTTCATCAAGAACATGATCACAGGGACATCACAGGTAAAGCTGCAGCTTGTAGCCTATCTGCGTGGGGGATTTGCGCAGGCCAATGTGTATTACTGGTCTTGGTGGTAACCTAATCTTATGCTTTTGTTCACCCTTCATTTCAGGCTGATGTTGCCCTCCTGGTGGTGTCTTCTGCCAAAGGGGAGTTTGAGGCTGGTATCTCCAGGAATGGCCAGACCAGGGAGCATGCCTTGCTCGCCTACACGCTCGGTGTCAAGCAAATCATTGTCGCCGTGAACAAGATGGACGTGACTGAGCCACCATACAGCCAGAAGCGCTTTGGTGAAGTGGTCCAAAGCGTGAGCACTTTCCTCAAAAGAATCGGCTACGATCCCACTGCTGTGCCATTTGTTCCCATCTCTGGCTGGACCGGGGAGAACATGCTTGCCCCATCTCAGAAAGTGAGTTTTTTGATAGCATTGATCAACATTTAAGTATAATTTTTATCCACCTGCGACACATGAGAACCCTCTTCTGCTGTGTAGATGTCCTGGTTCAAAGAATCGAAAGTCAAGAGCGGGCCAGGCCATGTAAACGGGAGAACTCTACTTGAAGTCCTGGACTCCATCCATCCACCAGTGCGCATTGCCAACAAGCCTCTGAGGCTGCCCCTGCAGGATGTATACAAGATCGGAGGTGAGTGGTGGCTCATGATGCCTACATGTATCAAATTGTGAGTAGTTGTATTGACTGTCTTCCCTCTGTGCTGCAGGAGTGGGCACGGTTCCAGTGGGGAAGATCGAGACAGGGATTCTGAAGCCCGGCATGATCCTGATGTTCTCCCCCGCCAAGCTGACTGCGGAGGTAAAGTCCATTGAGATGCACCACCAGGGTCTGCAGACGGCCGGGCCTGGCCACAACGTGGGCTTTAACATCAAGAACGTGTCTGTAAAGAACCTTCGCCGTGGAGATGTGGCTGGCAATGCCCAGCATGACCCTCCCTCTGATGTCAACAGCTTTGTGGCACAGGTACACATGGCAATGTCAAATCTGAACATGGCAATTTAGTATTGCATGTGATTGTCCCATTACCTAGTACCATATTTTCTAATGGACTGATGGTTTGTCAAACCAGACACCCTTCCCTGTTCTAGGATGTGAATCTGTTCCCTACTAATGCAGACTACTTTGCTTGTTCTGTAGCCTAGTACTGTTTCACTGACATCTTTGCATCTTCCCACAGCTCATAATCCTGAACCATCCTGGCAAAATCAAGACTGGCTACTCTCCCGTGCTTGACTGCCACACCACCCATGTGACCTGCCGCTTTGCAGAGCTGCGGGAGAAGATTGACCGTCGCACAGGGAAGAAGCTGGAGGATTTTCCCCAGACCCTGCAGTCTGGTGACGCTGCCACTGTCAAGATGAGCCCCAACAGACCACTCTGTGTGGAGAGCTTCTTCACCTACCCTCCTTTAGGTACACTTCCCTCAATATTTTCAGGGTAACATCACTGGTAGTGGGCATGGAACATTTGGAACTGGTAGTGTAACATTTTCTAGAGCAATGTTTTACTAGCGCATGGCTTTCTATCCCATCAAGTGTTGATTTGATTCTGCATCATGTGTGTTTTGATAAAGGACTGCTTGTTCACAAGATGTGCCTTATCTAAACAATGGCTGACTGTTTTTACAATGACAGTAATTTGTTCTCCACGTGTTCCTTCCCTCTTCAGGTCGGTTTGCAGCGAGGGACTTGAAACAGACTGTTGCTGTGGGAGTCATTAAGTCGGTGGATAAGGACCATGGATCAAAGAAGCATGCACAAAGGCCAAGTCTCAAAATGAATTAATTTTAGTTTACCAGTAGTTCTGGTATGAAAAAGAGCTTGAGGATAAAGCTTTAAGTTGACTATTGTTTGTGTATATATAATTTGTGTTGCAACACAGCACTATGTTGCGTTTTGGAAAATGATGCTGCTGCTCTTAGATTGGACTGCCATCTGGAGTAACTAAGAATTGAATGGCCTGTTTTAGACATGTAAGGTTGTGCAAAAAGCTTCTGACAAATAAAAGTCCTTTCAAAGTTACTGTTTCACTAACATGGTGCCAAATTCTGTACAACAACTTTTGCGGTGGCTTATAGTAGAGAAATGAACATTATCTGGCAACTGCTCTGGTGGACATTCCTACAGTCAGCATGTCAATTGCATGCTCCCTCAACTTGAGACATCTGTGGCGTTGGGTGAAAACTGCACATTTGAGTGGCCTTCAGTCCCCAGCAGAAGGTGTGCCTGTAATGATCATGCGGTTTAATCAGCTACTTGATATGTCACACCTGTCAGGTGGATGGCTTAAAATATTACTAAGCTTTGTGCATGTGGAACATTTCTGGGATCTTTTATTACGCCTCTTGAAACATGGGACCAACACTCTAAATCAGGGGTGTCAAACGTGCGGGCCGGATCAGGCCTGCAAACGGGTTTAATCCGGCCCGCGAGATGATGAAGAAAAAAAAAAAATTAAGTATAAAAATGCGCTGCAATTTTTCAATAAAATAAACTGCTGTTCCAATTGCGTCCACTGGATGGCGCAATAGTGTTAAGCAAGCAAACAGTTTATACCGGGGCAGAGCAAGTAGGTCAAGCACGTGCAGCCAATGAGCTACTTTGTTTTGCCCGCGATATTTATTACGGCTTCTACTTTTAACATTATGTGCTTTGGCACCCTCATTGCCCCAATATGTCTCTGTCAAAAAAGAGAAAAGTGGACGCAGAGTGCAGAGTGTTCCAAGAAAAATGGTCATCCTATTTAATCACGGAATTGAATGGGAACGCTGTATGTTTGTGTTCAGAGCATGTTGCAGCGCTGAAAGAATATAACCTTCGTCGCCACTATGTGAGTCTTCATGCCGACAAATATGACAACTTTCAAGGACAGCGGAGATGAGAGAAGGTGAATGAACTGTTGGCGGGTCTGAAGAAACAGCAGTCTGTGTTTACTCACAGCCGAGACATCAGTGACGCTGCAGTGAAAGCTAGCTACCTCATTGCTAATGAAATCGCAGTGGCTTCAAAACCATTTAGTGAGGGTGAATTTGTAAAAACATGCATGATGAAGGCAGCGGAGATTGTGTGCCCTGAAAAGCGGCAGGCTTTTGCAAATATCAGCCTGACAAGAAACACAGTTGCAGACAGGATTTCTGATCTTTCAGTGGATTTGGACAGCCAGTTGAAGCAAAAAGTAAAGTCATTTATTGCGTTTTCGGTTGCAATTGATGAAAGCACGGACATTACAGATGTTGCACAACTGGCCATTTTTTCATCCGCGGAGGTGATGACACATTGACCGTCACCGAGGAGTTCGTGGAGTTGGTGCCGATGACAGATACAACGACAGCAGCTGATATTTTTACCGCACTCGTCGGCGCGCTGGACAGGGTCGGAGTGGACTGGTCCCGCGCTGTCAGCCTGGCTACAGATGGTGCGCCCTCAATGATCGGGAAAAAAGCAGGCGTTGTGACAAAGTTCAGAGAGAAAGTGCAATCTGCAAATGGAGGATGTGATTTTTTGACTTTTCACTGTATTTTGCACCAGGAGGCTTTGTGTTGCAAGTCATTAAAGATGGATAACGTCATGAAGGTGGTCATCCAAACTGTTAATTTCATCCGATCCAGAAGCCTGAATCACCGTCAGTTTGACAGCCTTCTCAGAGAGAAAGACCACATCTATGGCCTGCCATACCACACTGAGGTAAGATGGTTAAGCCGAGGTGCTGTGCTGAGGCGTTTCTTTGATTTACGAGAAGAAATTGAACAGTTCATGGAAGAAAAGGGCAAACCAGTGTTAGAATTTCATTCCGCAGAATGGATGCCGGACCTTGCATTTATGGTGGATGTTACAGAGCACCTGCATAACTTGAAAAAACAGCTGCAAGGGCGCAACAAAGTTGTCACGCAGTATTATGACAGCATACGTTCTTTCAAGTTGAAGCTGTCATTGTGGGAGACGCAACTTGTCGGTGGTGATGCAGCTCACTTCCCCTGTCTGAAAAATGTGTGCGCGACCCAACATGTGGCAGACATGAAGCGGTTCAAAGATAAAATAACGGGACTGTTACGGGAGTTTGAGCAACGCTTTCAGATTTATGTTTATATGTTTTTATGTTGATGTGCTATTGTTTTTAATTGATTATATTTTATTTGTATATTTAACCTATTCTTGACTCTGTGGTTCTTGCACTTGTTTGGGGAACAGGATTTCATTATTTTTATCTACATTTCTGCCTGAGAAATGACACCCTGATATAGTTCTGTGATCTGTGATATACTTCTGTGAATCACTGAGGCATTGTGTGTTTGTGTGTTCTTTGTCCTCAGAACTTTCAAATAACTTGAGGTGTTTTATGATTAATAGTGATGTTGTGCTTTTGGACACTGTCCTCAGGCTCCAGCTTTATGTTTATATGTTTTTATGTTGATGTGCTATTGTTTTTAATTGATTTTATTTTATTTGTATATTTAACCTATTCTTGACTGTGGTTCTTGCACTAGTTTGGGGAACAGGATTTCATGATTTTTTTCTACATTTCTGCCTGAGAAATGACACCCTGATATAGTTCTGTGATCTGTGAAACAGTTCTGTTAATCACTGAGGCATTGTGTGTTTGTGTGTTCTTTTTCTTTAGAATTTTCAAATAAACTTGACGTGTTTTATGATTAATAGTGATGTTGTGCTTGTACTATTTTGGACACACTGTCCTCAGGCTCCAGCTTTATGTTGTATGTTGATCGTATTAAAACAAAGAAAACAATCTGAAGTTGTTAAGTTATATATACCAAGATTTTTCCGGTCTGGCCCACTTGGGAATAGATTTTCCTCCATGTGGCCCCTGAGCTAAAATGAGTTTGACACCCCTGCTCTAAATGTTGAGTTTATTTTTCAGTATAGTAAAGGTGAAGACATCAAATCCATTACAACACTTTTATTAGTACAATGGTATGATAGGGGTTGATAATCCTTTACATGGGTTGTAAACCAGAGGAGTCACTGGGGAGTAAAGGGTACATATCCAGTTCACTACTTGAAATCGCCTGTCTTCCAAATAAGTACTCGGCGTTCTAAGGACAACCCTGTCTGACAGGCAAACTTTATTTCTGCTTGACTGCCTCGCTGGATTTCATAAATATCCACAAACTGTCTACATTTGAGTTTATCCTTAACTGGAGATCTCGCCTGGAAATCATTGACACCACTATTACTAAATATGAAATGTCATTGGACACTTGCAATTTCCCCAGGCCATCAATTTTCACATTCTTGCTTACTGACATTGACCTTGCCATATGTGTGTGTGTTAGTGGCTCAGTGGTTCTTCAAACCCTGACTTGAGTGGCTTTTTAAATAGCACTCCGCTCAATTCCAGTCATTTTTACACCAGCACAGAAAGGTCTACATAGTGAAGATGACTTGACAGAGTGACAGTGTTAAGGAGTCTACTACTGGTGACCTGTGGGGTTTCTGATATCCCACCATACAGTAGCAGCAGGTGTCAATACTGTAAAACAATCAGAATACATGTACACAAAGTGAGCAAGAACAAGGAATACATATTTAATCATAAGTTATCATGGTAGGTTTCAGTGGGAGACAATCTCCAGTATGGGATTGTGCCTCCAGTCTAACGTGGTGTAGGATGAGGAAACGGGGATAGTCTAGTGACATGAGCTCTTTCCCATTCCTTCATATTTGGCCTTCTCCAGAAATGCAAGCAATGATGACCAGTAAAATGATTACAGATAAAATTCAAACACAGCTGCCCTGATACTTGGTTATCTGGCAGGCAGAGAACACGTATGCTTCTACATGTTTGTACAATAAAACATGTATATACACACACACACAAATATATTTACATACATATATACACAGTAACAGCATAAACACACTTTAGGGTAAGCGTGGCTACGGCAGCCATAGGCCGTGCTCTAAGGTTAAGATAATACTGGAAAGAGGAAAAATACACACATTTTTATTTACAACATGGATGTGCTCAGCATCCAGTGGCTAGTGGAGCCTACTTGGGCTTCTACATTGCGTTTTTTTCTTTAGAACACTGGTTTCACGTCAGGTTGTTACAGTAGCTATTTACAGTACAGGGGTACTTCTAAGGGTGAGGGCGGGGGGTTAGTGCAAGCCTCGTCTGGCTGTCAGTCACTCAGGATGTGGACAAAGGACATTGGGAACACTCCTTTCCTCTCCAGGTGCCCTTCAATGTGGCCGATCTGAAAGGAAACAGAGAGAGAGAGAATGAAGGAAGGCAGCCAACAAGTGCTCAGCATATGTGAGAACTCCTTCAAGACTGTTGGAAAAGCAGTCCAGGTGAAGCTGGTTGAGAGAATGCCAAGAGTGTGCAAAGCTGTCATCAAGGCAAAGGGTGGCTATTTGAAGAATCTCAAATATAAAATATATTTAGATTTGTTTAACACTTTTTTGGTTACTACATGATTCCATATGTGTTATTTCATAGTATTGATGTCTTTACTATTATTCTACAATGTAGAAAATAGTAAAAATTAAGAAAAAACCCTGGAATGAGTAGGTGTGTCCTAACTTTTGACTGGTACTGTATATACACACACACATATACAGTGCCTTGCAAAAGTATTCATCCCCCTTGGCCTATTTTGTTGCATTACAACCTGTAATTTAAATTGATTTTTATTTGGATTTCATGCAATGGACATACACAAAATAGTCCAAATTGGTGAAGTAAAATGAAAAAAAATAACTTGTTTCAAAAAATAAAAAAAAGTGGTGCGTGCTATGATGCCCCTAAATAAGATCTGGTGCAACCAATTACCTTCAGAAGTCACATAATTAGTTAAATAAAGTCCACCTGTGTGCAATCTAAGTGTCACATGATCTGTCACATGATCTCAGTATATATACACCTGTTCTGAAAGGCCCCAGAGTCTGCAACACCACTAAGCAAGGGGCACCACCAAGCAAGCGGCACCATGAAGACCAAGGAGCTCTCCAAACAGGTCAGGGACAAAGTTGTGGAGAAGTACAGATCAGAGTTGGGTTATAAAAAAATATCTGAAACTTTGAACATCCCACGGAGCACCATTAAATCCATTATTAAAAAATGGAAAGAATATGGCACCACAACAAACCTGCCAAGAGAGGGCCGCCCACCAAAACTCATGGTCCAGGCAAGGAGGGCATTAATCAGAGAGGCAATAAAGAGACCAAAGATAAGTATCTGTCAATAGGACCACTTTAAGCCGTACACTCCACAGAGCTGGGCTTTATGGAAGAGTGGCCAGAAAAAAGCCATTGCTTAAAGAAAAAAATAAGCAAACACATTGTATTCAGACCCCTTGACTTTTTCCACATTTTGTTACGCTACGTTACAACCTTATACTAAAATTGATTAAACCATTCCCCCCCCTCAACAATTTACACACAATACCCCATGATAACAAAGCAAAAACAGGTTTTTAGATTTTTTTGCAAATCTATATATTTAAAAAAAAACAGAAATATTACATTTACATAAGTATTCAGACCCTTTACTCAGTACTTTGTCGAAGTACCTTTGGCAGTGATTACAGCCTCGAGTCTTCTTGGGTATAACGCTACAAGCTTGGCACACCTGTATATGGAGAGTTTCTCTCATTCCTCTCTGCAGCTCCTCTCAAGCTCTGTCAGGTTGGATGGGGAGCATTGCTGCACTGCTAATTTCAGGTCTCTCCAGAGATGTTCGATCGGGTTCAAGTCCGGGCTCTGGCTGAGCCACTCAAGGACATTCAGAGACTTGTCGCGAAGCAACTTCTGCGTTGTCTTGGCTGATCCTGACTAGTCTCCTAGTCCCTGCTGCTGAAAAACATCCCCACAGCATGATGCTGCCACCACCATGCTTCACCGTAGGGATGGTGCCAGATTTCCTCCAGATGTGACGCTTGGCATTCAGGCCAAAGAGTTCAATCTTGGTTTCATCAGACCAGAGAATCTTGTTTCTCATGGTCTGAGAGACTTTAGGTGCCTTTTGGAAAACTCCAAGCAGACTGTCATGTGCCTTTTACTGAGGAGTGGCTTCCGTCTGGCCACTCTACCATAAAGGCCTGATTGGTGGTGTTGCAGAGATGGTTGTCCTTCTGGAAGGTTCTCCCATCTCCACAGAAGAACTCTAGACCTCTGTCAGAGTGACCATCGGGTTCTTGGTCACCTCCCTGACCAAGGCCCTTCTCCCCTGATTGCTCAGTTTGGCTGGGCGGCCAGCTCTAGGAAGAGTCTTGGTGGTTCCAAACTTCTTCCATTTAAGGATGATGGAGGCCACTGTGTTCTTAGGGACCTTCAATAGTGCAGAAATGTTTTGGTACCCTTCCCCAGCTCTGTGCCTCAACACAATCCTGTCTTGGAGCTCTACGGACAATTCCTTCGACCTCATGAGTGGGTTTTTGCTCTGACATGCACTGTCCACTGTGGGACCTTATATAGACAGGTGTGTGCCTTTTCAAATCATGTCCAATCAATTGAATGTAACACAGGTGGACTCCAATGAAGTTGTAGAAACATCTCAAGGATGATCAATGGAAGCAGGTTGCACCTGAGCTCAATTTCGAGTCTCATAGCAAAGGGTCTGAATACTTATGTAAATAAGGTATCCGTTTTTTATTTGTAAAACATTTGCAAAAAAAATCGAATAAACTGTGTTCGCTTTGTCATTATGGGGTATTGTGTGTAGATTGCTGAGGAATAACATATTTAATCCATTTTAGAATAAGGCTGTAACGTAACAAAATGTGGAAAAAGTCAAGGGGTCTGAATACCTTCCAAAGGCACCTTATATATATATACACTACCAGTCAAAAGTTTGGACACACCTACTCATTCAAGGGTTTTTCTTTATTTTTTACAATTTTTTACATTGTAGAATAATCAAAACTATGAAATAACACATGGAATCATGTAGTAACCAAAAAAGTGTTAAACAAATCAAAATATATTTTATAGTTGAGATTCTTCAAATAGCCACCCTTTCCTTGATGACAGCTTTGCACACTCTTGGCATTCTCTCAACCAGCTTCATGAGGTAGTCACCTGGAATGCATTTCAATTAATAGGGGTGCCTTCTTAAAAGTTAATTTGTGGAATGTCTTTCCTTCTTAATGCATTTGAGCCAATTAGTTGTGTTGTGACAAGGTAGGGGGGTATACAGAAGATAGCCCTATTTGGTAAAAGACCAAGTCCGTATTATGTCAAGAAACGCTCAAATAAGCAAAGAGAAACGACAGTCCATCATTACTTTAAAACATGAAGGTCAGTCAATACGGAACATTTCAAGAACTTAGGAAAGTTTCTTCAAGTGCAGTCGCAAAAACCATCAAGCGCTATGATGAAACTGGCTCTCAAGAGGACCGCCACAGGAATGGAAGACCCAGAGTTACCACTGCTGCAGAGGATAAGTTCATTAGAGTTACCAGCCTCAGAAATTGCAGCCCAAATAATAAATGCTTCACCGAGTTCAAGTCACAGACACATCTTAACATCAACTGTTCAGAGGGGACTGTGTGAATCAGGCCTTCATGGTCGAATTGCTGCAAAGAAACCACTACTAAAGGACACCAATAAGAAGAAGAGCCCTGCTTAGGCCAAGAAACACGAGCAATGGACATTAGACCGGTGGAAATTTGTCCTTTGGTCTGGAGTCCAAATTGGAGATTATTGGTTCCAACCAATGTGTCTTTGTGAGACGAGGTGTGGGTGAACGGATGATCTCTGCATGTGTAGTTCCCACCGTAAAGCATGGAGGAGGAGGTTTGATGGTGCTTTGCTGGTGACACTTTCTGTGATTTATTTAGAATTCAAGGCACACTTAATCAGCATGGCTACCACAGCATTCTGCAGCGATATGCCATCCCATCTGGTTTGGGCTTAGTGGGACTATCATTTGTTTTTCAACAGGACAATGACCCAACACACCTACTGGCTGTGTAAGGGCTATTTTACCAAGAAGGAGAGTGATGGAGTGCTGCATCAGATGACCTGGCCTCCACAATCCCCGGACCTCAACCCAATTGAGATGGTTTGGGATGAGTCGGATGGCAGAGTGAAGGAAAAGCAGCCAACAAGTGCTCAGCATCTGTGGGAACTCCTTCAAGACTGTTGGAAAAGCATTCCAGGTGAAGCTGGTTGAGAGAATGCCAAGAGTGTGCAAAGCTGTCATCAAGGCAAAGGGTGTTATTTCATAGTTTTGATGTCTTCACTATTATTCTACAATGTAGAAAATAGTACAAATAAAGAAGAACCCTTGAATGAGTAGCTGTGTCTACACTCTTGACTGGTACTGTATATTCAGAAGGATCTGTAGGACATAGCCATGACTTTCGTGGCGAAGGCCACATATGGACGCAACGTCATCTTAGAGTTGCCCGGGTACAGAAAGGGTGTACGGATAAAGCTTGGAGGTCCCCAACATATTTAGCCAAGTCCAAAGCCATGAGCAGGAGACCAATCGACTCCAGAGGCTCAAAGGGGGCCGCACACAGTGCTTCCAAAACCAGCCCCAAGTCCCATGTGGGCGCAATAGGTTTAGAGACCGGTCTGAGACGAAGTACACCTTTCAGGAACCGCACCACCAGGGGTTGAGCCCCCGGTGAGGTTCCGTCAATTCCCACATGCACCCTTTTAAAGTGGAGAATGCTTGAAAAGCTCCTGTAGGAACATAAGGATGTAATAATCTCCACCCGGCACAGCCAGAAGAGGACTGGCCATCCCTCAGAGCCTGGTTCCTCTCTAGGTTTCTTCCTAGGTTCCTGCCTTTTCTAGGGAGTTTACATCTGCATTGCTTGCTGTTTGGGGTTTTAGGCTGGGTTTCTGTATAAGCACTTTGTGACATCTGCTGATGGAAAAAGGGCTTTATGAATAAATGTGATGTCCCTCACAGAGCAATGAAAAGGAACAAGTTCTTTATCTTGGCACCAGAGCTCAAACGCTTGCCACTTATATGCCCTTGCAGACTGAACGGTAGTAAAAACATTCAGAGGTAAACCTCTAGCCATCAGATTGACCCTCTTAGGGGCCAGGCCCATAGGAACCAAATCTCTGGCCTCGCTTGCCAAACCTGCCCGTGTGCCTGGGACAACAGGTCCCTGCGCAACGAACGTTTCCATGGGTCCCGCCTAAAAGGCTAATGCTCTCCGGAACCAAGGCTGCCTGGGCCAACAGGGAGCTACAAGAATCAATGTTAAACCCTCCCGGGCACCCACTACAACGTGGGCTGAATCAGAACCACTGGCGGAAACTCGTAAAGGAGGGTTCGAGGCCACTGGTGCGCCAGAGCGTCCGTTCCCAATGGGGTACTCGGGTCCCTCATCGATGAAAATAGAAGACGCTGCATATTCTATCGTGATGTGTAAAGACCTATGTTGGCCCTGCCGAAAATGTCCCATACCTGGGAGAGCCTCCACTCCTGAGAGAGTCCCATCTGGATAAAAGATCTGCACCAGAGTTGAGGCAACTGGGGACATGCATCGCCCAAAGCGTAAGCATGTGCACACTGCTCCCCAGCAATAGATAGCGAGCCAAGGTTAAGAGGGAGCGAGAGAAGAGTCTCTCTTCATCTGTTGATGCATGCCACCACTGACAAGCCGGGCATGACAAAAACAGGGGGAAGCACCTGAGGTAATTGACATGCAGTGCACTCCGCACCAGTGTCCATACCCCCCGAATCAAGTTGCCTTCGTACAGCGCACCCCACCCTCAGGGGGATGCGTCTGTTGTGATCACCTTGTGGGATACAACTCAGCCCATGGGAGCCCCCTGGCAATAGCCTGACAAGGACACCCGAAGCGACCGGCTTAGGCTTCGAGATGCGTCCAGGTGAGTGGCTAGCACTCAGCATTGGAAGGGCCGTATCAACAATAGCCCCACGGGAACGACTTCAATCACAAACGCCATCAGCCCCAGTAGCCATAGGCACTGGCAAAAACACACTGTGTGACCCAGCTGAAATTTGGCTAAGCAGAGCCGGAATCCGGACACCCTCCGTGGGGATACAAAAGCATGATACATGAGTGAGTCTAGCTCGAGACCCAGAAACTTGTGCTTCCATGAGACTGTATAGCCTGCATGAATCCCGGCCCCTTTATGGGCACAGGGGGCTCTGGCAATGGCTGACGTGGTACCCTGTTTGCCAAACATTGGGTCACTGTTGTCACAGTAATGTTTTTGTGGAGGGGCACACTGTTCACTCAGACCTGTGCCAAGGCCCCTTGCTTCGGGGGTTACCCCAGCCAAGTGCTCGGGGGGCTGCTTCATTGGAGGTGCACACAAACCCTGTTTCCTTCACTCCCTCCAACTCCAGGAACTGAAAATAGGAAAGGGTTTGCCATGATGTCAGGGGAAAGCATTTCAGTTTCACTCGCTGGAAGTTAAGCCTGCTAGCCGACATTAGCCAGGAGGCTTTTTAGCATAAGCTAGGCTAGCTAGCCTCTTTGACTGCAGCATGGTCCGTTTAGAATAACCAAGCGACTTAACGCTATGTATACTAAACAAGAGAGCTACCCCAGCAACTCCACCGTGGGGAGGCAGGAATAGCTAGTAATAGCTAGCTCACCTCGGCGAGTTAGCCATCTGGCTAGCGCGCTACGCAGCGCTCATTTAGCTAGCCCCGTCTCGAAATTCGACATGGGACCGGATCACCAGACCCTTCATAAACAAGTCTGGGAAGAGAGGCAAGCAGTGCTTAACCAAGGCAGACACAGGTGGTGGGGGGTACCCACCGAACCTGGCCCTCCCGTAACTGGCAACAGAGCGCACAGGACCCGGGTTGGGCGCAGGCGGCCACCGCATACCCCGTGCCCATGCAGACAAGACATTTGCTCTGACCACCCAATCCATCTCCGCTTCCTGCACCTCAGTCCCAGCCAAGGTACCGGCATCCGGGAAAGGAAAGTCGCCATCAGTAATTCCTAGCTTCAGAGAATTGCTATAACCGCATGACTGGGGGCATTATCTCGACCCCCGAATCCGGCTTAGCCATCGTCGTCTCGGCCGTTTTCTTAGCCATCTTACTCATTGCACCAGCAAATTGAAGAACTAATTGTTTGTGATTAGAAAACGTATGAGAACAAGTACAACCTTCAGCTACAACGTCAAGGGGGTGAGCACGCTATAAGTGAAGGAATGAATCAGAGCCTCATGCTTATCAACTATGCAAGGTGGGGCTTCCAGCGAGGCGCGGATTTCATTGGCCTTGTCAGGGCGTGATTATAGATCCTTCAACCGAAGTCGCAAGAGTGCAACTCCCCATAGTATGTTGTACCGAAGTTGGCTGACTGAAAGGGAACTAACAGATATTATCTCATAGAACAAAACGTATAAGATTTCCTAAACCTGTGTTAACCTCAGACCTTATTTTCAGCATTTACCCCAAAACCCTTTTCTTTCCCCATTCATTTTCCCCATAGGAATGGCTGAATGAACCAGAGGTAACTCATTTCCGGTTTTAAGGACTACAAGCTGGTGAGCTCTATATGGCCGACCGGTGGCTTCAAAGCCTCTCATTGGCCAACACATAGCATCAGCAATCCAGGGTTTATATACATCATTGGTAAAACCAGTGAGCCTGCTAAGGTGAAGCAGGGTTAGGGTAACAGTAAGGCTGAACGCTCAGCCGAACGCACCACTGGGTGCACACTGGCTTCCCTCCAGGACACCTACAACACCAGGTGTCGCAGGAAGGCCAAGAAGATAATCAGGGACCCCAGCCACCCGAGCCATGGCCTGTTCTCCCTGCTTCGATCACTAAGATGCGGGCAGAACAGGAAGACTAGCCAAGGGCTTCTTCCCCCAGACCATCAGACTGCTGAATAGCCACCACTAGTCAACTACCTGCCCCCACCCTCCTGCCCCCCTCCACCCCTGCTCCCCGTGTCCACATCCTGCCCCTACACCAATGGACATTTACCATTGTTACAGTGTATATATATGTATATATATATTTTTTTAAATATTCTTTATTATTACATTGATTGTTTATATTTCACTTTGACTGGCATTGTTGGAGCTCGGAGTATAAGATTTTCACTGTACCCTGCAACCCTGTACATGTGACTATTAAACTTCTAATCTAATCTAACAGTGTTAGGGTAACACCAGTGAGCCTGTTAGGGGGCAATTACTTACCCACCACTCCCCGTCCTCCTCTCCCGTCACTATGATCACCTCTCCCTCCACAAACGTCAGCTCGTCATCATTGTCGGCTTGGCAGTCATAGATGGTCTTCACCCGCCGAGATTTGGTCTTCCCCTAAACACACATATGAACATTACCAGAAATGTCACCAGAGACAAGTAAATAGTATGTGGAATGGTCTGGTTGCCAAAAGTTTCTGTGTTGTGACCCACCTATTAACAATGCCACCACAACCCTGTCTGTGACTGCAACCCAAGATGAACTGGCCCCAACCCACCAGTGGGACCCAGATATTACTCAATGATACCATTAAAGCTCTATGATTTCTGCGGTGTGTCCTTAATTGAACTTTACCGTGTTCTTCCTGGGCAAGGGCACTGGTGTGTCTGGAGCACAGGCCGGGCTCCCATTGGTGTCCTCGCTACCCTGGGGGGATGGGCTCTCAGTCTCTGCCTGCTGATTGGCCGCCGGTGACTCCGGGGGCTGGGGCTTCGGCGCAGGCTCTCCAGGGGGTGGTCTCGTACTGAGCAGATCTGCTGCCCCCGGTTTTGGATGGCCGTCTTGGGAGAGCTGAGGTTTGGGGGGTAGGTCTTTGAGCAGGGGTTTGGGAGGTAGGTCCCCTAGCTGCGGTTTGGGGGGGAGGTCGGAGAGCTGGGGCTTGGGTGGCAGTTCTCCAGGTTTAGGGGGCAGCTCAGAGGGCTGGGGTTTGGGGGGAAGGTCCCCTAGTTGGAGCTTGTCGGGTAGGATGGCTTTTGTTAGGCATTCAGGTCCTGGAGGGGATTTCTGGAGCACCTCCGGAGGCAGACCGGGTTTGTCCATAGACGGGTGTATGGTGTCGATCTTACGCAGTGCCACTAAGAAAAGAACCAGGACACAGGTACTATATTAAACACTTGCTGACTCTAATACTGGGCAGTATGCCAGAAATATGCCGGAAATAAGGTGGTCTCACCTACAGTTATAGGCATTGCTAATCCCATTTCAACATACCTTTCTGAGGTAGTTTGGGTAGAACCCTTGGACCAAGTGTAGACTTTGTGTTGCTAGAAGTAGTGCTGAAAACAGATGGTTATATGAAGTTAATGAAAAATTCTAATAAGATCAGAACTCTATCATACTTAAACAATAGAGTTCCAAACTGCCTCTGGAAGCAACGTCAGCACAATAACTGTTCGTCGGGAGTTTCATGAAATGGGTTTCCATGACCGAGCAGCTGCACACAAGCCTAAGATCCATATTTTTGAAATGTTCTAAATGCCTGCATCCAAAATGGATATCTATGTACCTTTGCTGCTGTGGAATGCCCTCAAACTTGTTGGATAACGGTGACATCTTGTTAGCAGGTGGAGGGGTGGAGTCACTTCCTGAAATGTCGAGATGGTTGTGAGATATGGAAATATGCTGCTCAGTGTATATAATATTCAGCCCCATATTACCCCACATACCAAAATGGTCACCTAAATAAGCACAGCTTTGTGGTTGATAGAATTCTCCTGATTTAAATTATTATTATAATGAATTCACAATTATTCTTATGTAAAAGTATTTGAAGTCCATCTATACATATACTGTAACTGGTATACAATTACACTACCAGTCAAAAGTTTGGACACACTTACTCACTCAAGGGTTTTTCTTTATTTTTACAATTGTTTACTTTGTAGAATAATAGTGAAGACATCAAAACTATGAAATAACACATATGGAATCATGTGTTAATGAAAAAAGTGTTAAAACAAAATATATTTTATATTTGAGATTCTTCAAATAGCCACCCTTTGCCTTGATGACAGCTTTGCACACTTGTCATTCTCTCAACCAGCTTCATGAGGTAGTCACCTGGAATGCATTTCAATTAACAGGTGTGCCTTCTTAAAAGTTAAATTTGTGGAATTTCTTTCCTTCTTAAAGCGTTTGAGCCAATCAGTTGTGTTGTGACAAGGTATACAGAAGATAGCCCTATTTGGTAAAAGACCAAGTCCATATTATGGCAAGAACAGGTCAAATAAGCAAAGAGAAACGACAGTCCATCATTACTTTAAGACATGAAGGTCAGTCAATACGGAAAATGTCAATAACTTTGAATGTTTCTTCAAGTGCAGTCGCAAAAACCATCAAGCGCTATCATGAAACTGGCTCTCATGAGATCCGCCACAGGAATGGAAGACCCAGAGTTACAGTGCCTTGCAAAAGTATTAATCCCCCTTGGCGTTTTTCCTATTTTGTTGCATTACAACCTGTAATTTAAATTGATTTTTATTTGGATTTCATGTAATGGACATACACAAAATAGTCCAAATTGGTGAAAAAAATAACTTATTTCCAAAAATTCTAAAACATAAATAACAGAAAAGTGGTGCGTGCATTTGTATTCACCCCCTTTGCTATGAAACCCCTAAATAAGATCTGGTGCAACCAATTACCTTCAGAAGTCACATAATTAGTTAAATAAAGTCTGCAACACCACTAAGTAAGGGGCACCACCAAGCAAGTGGCACCATGAAGACCAAGGAGCTCTCCAAACAGGTCAGGGTCAAAGTTGTGGAGAAGTACAGATCAGGGTTGGGTTATAAAAAAATATCAGAAACTTTGAACATCCCACGGAGCACCATTAAATCCATTATTTAAAAAATGGAAAGAATAGGCACCACAACAAACCTGCCAAGAGAGGGCCACCCACCAAAACTCACGGACCAGGCAAGGAGGGCATTAATCAGAGAGGCAGCAAAGAGACCAAAGATAACCCTGAAGGAGCTGCAAAGCTCCACAGCGGAGATTGGAGTATCTGTCCATAGGACCACTTTAAACCGTACACTCCACAGAGCTGGGCTTTACGGAAGAGTGGCCAGAAAAAAGCCATTGCTTAAAGAAAAAAATAAGCAAACACGTTTGGTGTTTGCCAAAAGGCATGTGGGAGACTCCCCAAACATATGGAATAAGGTACTCTGGTCAGATGAGACTAAAATTGAGCTTTTTGGCCATCACGGAAAACGCTATGTCTGGCGCAAACCTAACACCTCTCATCACCCCGAGAACACCATCCCCACAGTGAAGCATGGTGGTGGCAGCATCATGTTGTGGGGATGTTTTTCATCTGCAGGGACTGGGAAACTGGTCAGAATTGAAGGAATGATGGATGGCGCTAAATACAGGAAAATTCTTGAGGGAAACCTGTTTCAGTCTTCCAGAGATTTGAGACTGGGACGGAGGTTCATCTTCCAGCAGGACAATGACCCTAAGCATACTGCTAAAGCAACACTCGAGTGGTTTAAGGGGAAATATTTAAATGTCTTGGAATGGCCAAGTCAAAGCCCAGACCTCAATCCAATTGAGAATCTGTGGTATGATTTAAAGATTGCTGTACACCAGCGGAACCCATCCAACTTGAAGGAGCTGGAGCAGTTTTGCCTTGAAGAATGGGCAAAAATCCCAGTGGCTAGATGTGCCAAGCTTATAGAGACATACAGTGAGGGAAAAAAGTATTTGAACCCCTGCTGATTTTGTACGTTTGCCCACTGACAAAGAAATGATCAGTCTATAATTTTAATGGTAGGTTTATTTGAACAGTGAGAGACAGAATAACAACAAAAAAATCCAGAAAAACGCATGTCAAAAATGTTATAAATTGATTTGCATTTTAATGAGGGAAATAAGTATTTGACCCCCTCTCAATCAGAAAGATTTCTGGCTCCCAGATGTCTTTTATACAGGTAACGAGCTGAGATTAAGAGCACACTCTTAAAGGGAGTGCTACTAATCTCAGCTTGTTACCTATATAAAAGACACCTGTCCACAGAAGCAATCAATCAATCAGATTCCAAACTCTCCACCATGGCCAAGACCAAATAGCTCTCCAAGGATGTCAGGGACAAGATTGTAGACCTACACAATTATTATTATTATTATTATTATTTATTTAGCAGACGCTCTTATCCAGAGCGACTTACAGGAGCAATTAGGGTTAAGTGCCTTGCTTAAGGGCACATCAACAGATTTTTCACCTAGTCGGTTCGGGGATTAGAACCAGCGACCTTTCGGTTACTGGCACAACGCTCTTACCCACTAAGCTACCTGCCGCCCCCGGCTGCCACAAGGCTGGAATGGGCTACAAGACCATCGCCAAGCAGCTTGGTGAGAAGGTGACAACAGTTGGTGCGATTATTCGCAAATGGAAGAAACACAAAATAACTGTCAATCTCCCTCGGCCTGGGGCTCCATGCAAGATCTCACCTCGTGGAGTTGCAATGATCATGAGAACGGTGAAGAATCAGCCCAGAACTACACGGGAGGATCTTGTCAATGACCTCAAGGCAGCTGGGACCAGAGTCACCAAGAAAACAATTGGTAACACACTACGCCGTGAAGGACTGAAATCCTGCAGCGCCCGCAAGGTCCCCCTGCTCAAGAAAGCCCATATACAGGGCCATCTGAAGTTTGCCAATGAACATCTGAATGATTCAGAGGAGAACTGGGTGAAAGTGTTGTGGTCAGATGAGACCAAAATCGAGCTCTTCGGCATCAACTCAACTCGCCGTGTTTGGAGGAGGAGGAATGCTGCCTATGACCCCAAGAACACCATCCCCACCGTCAAACATGGAGGTGGAAACATTATGCTTTGGGGGTGTTTTTCTGCTAAGGGGACAGGACAACTTCACCGCATCAAAGGGACGATGGACGGGTCCATGTACCGTCAATTCTTGGGTGAGAACCTCCTTCCCTCAGCCAGGGCATTGAAAATGGGTCGTGGATGGGTATTCCAGAATGACAATGACCCAAAACACACGGCCAAGGCAACAAAGGAGTGGCTCAAGAAGAAGCACATTAAGGTCCTGGAGTGGCCTAGCCAGTCTCCAGACCTTAATCCCATATAAAATCTGTGGAGGGAGCTGAAGGTTCGAGTTGCCAAACGTCAGCCTTGAAACCTTAATGACTTGGAGAAGATCTGCAAAGAGGAGTGGGACAAAATCCCTCCTGAGATGTGTGCAAACCTGGTGGCCAACTACAAGAAACGTCTGACCTCTGTGATTGCCAACAAGGGTTTTGCCACCAAGTACTAAGTCATGTTTTGCAGAGGGGTCAAATACTTATTTCCCTCATTAAAATGCAAATCAATTTATAACATTTTTGACATGCGTTTTTCTGGATTTTTTTGTGGTTATTCTGTCTCTCACTGTTCAAATAAACCTACCATTAAAATTATAGACTGATCATGTCTTTGTCAGTGGGCAAACGTACAAAATCAGCAGGGGATCAAATACTTTTTTCCCTCACTGTACCCCAAGAGACTTGCAGCTGTAATTGCTGCAAAAGGTGGCTCTACAAAGTGTTGACTTTGGAGGGGTGAATAGTTATGCACGCTCAAGTTCAGTTTTTTTGTCTTATTTCTTGTTTTGCATCTTCAAAGTGGTAGGCATGTTGTGTAAGTCAAATGATACAAACCCCCCCAAAAATCAATTTTAATTCCAGGTTGTAAGGGAACAAAATAGGAAAAATGCCAAGGGGGGTGAATACTTTCGCAAGCCACTGTACCTCTGCTGCAGAGGATAAGTTCATTAGAGTTACCAGCCTCAGAAATTGTAGCCCAAATAAATGCTTCACAGAGTTCAAGTAACAGACACATGTCAACATCAACTGTTCAGAGGGGACTGTGTGAATCAGGCCTTCATGGTCGAAATGCTGTAAAGAAACCACTACTAAAGGACACCAATAAGAAGAAGAGACCTGTTTGGGCCAAGAAACACAAGCAATGGACATTAGACCGGTGGAAATGTGTCCTTTGGTCTGGAGTCCAAATTTGAGATTTTTGGTTCAAACCGCTGTGGCTTTGTGGGTGAACAGATTATCTCCGCATGTGTAGTTCCCACCGTAAAGCATGGAGGAGAAGGTGTTATGGTGTGGGGGTGCTTTGCTGGTGACACTATCTGTGATTGATTTAGAATTCAAGACACAGTTAACCAGCATGGCTACCACAGCATTCTGTAGCGATACGCCATTCCATCTGGTTTGGGCTTAGTGAGACTATCATTAGTTTTCAACAGGACAATGACCTAACACACCTCCAGGCTGTGTAAGGAGAGTGATGAAGTGCTGCATCAGATGACCTGGCCTCCACAATCACCCGACCTCAAGCCAATTGAGATGGTTTGGGATGAGTCGGACGGCAGAGTGAAGGAAAAGCAGCCAACAAGTGCTCAGCATATGTGGGAACTCCTTCAAGACTGTTGGAAAAGCAGTCCAGGTGAAGCTGGTTGAGAGAATGCCAAGAGTGTGCAAAACTGTCATCAAGGCAAAGGGTGGCTATTTGAAGAATCTCAAATATAAAATATATTTTGATTTGGTTAACACTTTTTTGGTTACTACATGATTCCATATGTGTTATTTCAAAGTTTTGATATCTTCACTATTATTCTACAATGTAGGAAATAGTAAAAAATAAAGGGTTAGGGTTAGGGTTAACCCTAACCCTAACCCTTGAAGGAGTAGGTGTGTCCAAACTTTTGACTGGTACCGTATAATATATATATAAATATACACACACATATACATATATATATATATTCTGTACATTATAGTAGAAAAGGGTAAGGGAGGGAGATGTCAGGCTGAGTTTTCCATTAGCTACCATTATGGACTATAGGAGGTATGTCAAAGATAAAGATTTTACTGAGTTACAGTTCATATAAGAAAATCTGTCAATTGAAAAATTCATTAGACCCTAATCTATGGATTTCATATCTGGGAATACAGATATGTATATGTTGGTCACAGATACACTATATATAGAAAGGTATGTGGACACCCCTTCAAATGAGTGGATTTGGCTATTTCAGCCATACCCGTTGCTGACAGGTGTATACAATCGAGCACACAGCCATGCAATCTCCATAGACAAACATTGGCAGTAGATTGGCCTTACTGAAGAGCTCAGTGACCTTCAACGTGGCACCGTCATAGGATGCTACCTTTCCAACAAGTCAGTTCGTCAAATTTCTGCCCTGCTAGAGCTGCCCTGTTCAAGTGCTGTTATTGTGAAGTAGAAACGTCTAGGAGCAACAACGGCTCAGCCGTCTGTCCTCAGTTGCAACACTCACTAACGAGTTCCAAACTGCCTCTGGAAGCAACGTCAGCACAATAACTGTTGGTCTGGAGTTTCATGAAATGGGTTTCCATGGCCGAGCAGCCGCACACAAGCCTAAGATCACCATGCGCAATGCCAAGCGTCGGCTGGAGTGGTGTAAAGCTCGCCGCCATTGGACTCTGGAGCAGTGGAAACGCGTTCTCTAGAGTGATGAATCACGCTTCACCATCTGTCAGTCCGACAGACTAATCTGGGTTTGGCGGATGCCAGGTGAGCGCTACCTGCCCCAATGCATAGTGCCAACTGTAAAGTTTGGTGGAGGAAGAATAATGATTGGGGCTGTTTTTCATGGTTCGGGCTAGGCCCCTTAGTTCCAGTGAAGGGAAATCTTAACGCTACAGCATACAGTGACATTCTAGACGATTCTGTGCTTCCAACTTTGTGGAAACAGTTTGGGGAAGGCCCTTTCCTGTTTCAGTATGACAATGCCCCCGTGCACAAAGCGAGGTCCATACAGAAATTGTTTGTCGAGATCGTTATGGAAGAACTTGACTAGCCTGCACAGAGCCCTGACCTCAACCCCATTGAACATCTTTGGGATGAATTGGAACGCTGACTGCGACCCAGGCCTAATCACCCAACATCAGTGCCCAACCTCACTAATGCTCTTGTGGCTGAATGGAAGCAAGTCCCCGCAGCAATGTTCCAACATCTAGTGGAAGGCCTTCCCAGAAGAGTGGAGGCTGTTATAGCAGCAAAGGGGGGACCAACTCCATATTACTGCCCATGATTTTGGATTGAGATGTTTGACGAGCAGGTGTCCACATACTTTTGGTCATGTAGTGTACCTTATAAAAAAAAGAAGTAGGGGCGTGGATCAGAAAACCAGTCAGTATCTGGTGTGACCACCATTTGCCTCATGCAGCGCGACACATCTCCTTCGCATAGAGTTGATCAGGCTGTTGATTGTGGCCTGTTGAATGTTGTCCCAGTCTTCAATGGCTGTGCGAAGTTGCTGGATATTGGCGAGAACTGGAACACGCTGTCGTACACATCGATCCAGAGGATCCCAAACATGCTCAATGGGTGACATGTCTGTTGAGTATGCAGGCCATGGAATTGCAGTAATTGTGTACAGATCCTTGTGACATGGGGCCGTGCATTATCATGCTGAAACATGACATGGAGGCGGTTGAATGTCACGACAATGGGCCTCAGGATCTCGTCACGGTATCTCTGTGCATTCAAATTGCCATTGATAAAATGCAATTGTGTTGTCCGTAGCTTATGCCAGCCCATACCATAACCCCACCGCCACCATGGGGCACTCTGCTCACAACGTTGACATCAGCAAACCGCTCGCCCACATGACAGTTGAAACCGGGATTCATCTGTGAAGAGCACATTTCGCCAGCGTGCCAGTGGCCATCGAAGGTGAGCATTTGCTCACTGAAGTCAGTTACGACGCTGAACTGCAGTCAGGTCAAGACCCTGGTGACGACAAGCACGCGGATGAGCTTCCCTGAGACTGTTTCTGACAGTTTGTGCAGAAATTATTTGGTTGTGCAAACCCACAGTTTCATCAGCTGTCCGGGTGGCTGATCTCAGACGATCCCGCAGGTGAGGAAGCAGGATGTGGAGGTCCTGGGCTGGCATGGTTACACGTGATCTGCGGTTGTCAGGCCGGTTGGACGTACTGCCAAATTCTCTAAAATGGCTTATGGTAGAGAAATTAACATTCAATTCTCTGGCAACAGCTCTGTTGGACATTCCTGCAGTCAGCATGCCAATTGCACGCTCGCTCAAAACTTGAGACATCTGTGGCATTGTGTTCCCCAGCACAAGGTGCACCTGTGTAATGATCATGCTGTTTAGTCAGCTTCTTGATATGCCACACCTGGCAGTTGGATGGATTATCTTGGCAAAGGATAAATGCTCACTAGCAGGGATTTAAAGACATTGAGAGAAATAAGCTTTTTGTGCGTATTGAAAATTTCAGGGAACTTTTATTTCAGCTCTTGAAACATGGGACCAACACTTTATTGTTGCGTTTAGATTTTTGTTCAGTGTAGTATTATTCAGCTAATAATCTACATTTTATTCTATACTAATGCTGTTGAGGCCACTGTTAGATGAGACTGTAAGAATGTGTTTGTATTTCACAATACAAAAAACATCACAGACGAGACAAAATGATGACAAAAATAATGATCTGACATCCAACACTAACATATACATTTACACAGGATTACCATCACCCTCCAAAATGACCAGGATGTGTCTGTGTCATTGCCATCACACCATAAAATGACCAGGATGTGTCTGTCATTCATGAACAGCACTGACACTCTGGTCATGGGGAAGACCTGGTCGGAAACCCACTCAATACTAGGCCAGAGATGGGTAACTCTGGTCCTTTAGGGCCTCAGTGTAGGTAGGCATTTAGACTGACCTTAGTTCAATCATGTGTGTTAGTGCTGGGCTGGACCAAAAGCCTGCACACACTACAACTGTCCAGGACCAGAGACTTGTTATTAAGGATCATGTCCTTTGCTAATAAAGACGACCAAGCAGTATTCAGATGTGTCTGCTTGGGTCTGGCCCACCGAGGGAGGACTCACCCACGTAAATGCCCCCTCTACTGTGGGAAAGCGGGCTGGGCGGGTCAGACAGGGTGCGTTTGTGCCCGGGGGGAGGGGGCGGAGGCCTCTTCTTGGACAGGGTGGAGCTGCCTCCGGGGATGAGGGTGGAGGGAGGAGCTGGAGGAGTGACAACATACAAACATGCAGTGAAGGGACAGGCATCATTCATTCTGTCACCTGTGATACCAAGAGGAAGGGGAGGGGCTTGAGAGGGGAGGGTAGATGAGAGGAAGGTTTCTTGCCATCGAGACTGGGTTCAACACAATTGTTGGACAATGTGGGGGAGATTTGTTAACACAACATCAATACAGGTAAAACACAACCTCCCAGTGAACAGAGAAACGCCCAGATAGGAATACAGAGAAGATGGACACAGAACAATGTGTGTGTATTGTGTATGTGTCGTTTTGTGTATATTTTGGGGTGGGTGTACATGCTCCTGAGACTTCTGGACCTACAGTAACGTTAACCCAAAGCAGCTAGTCCTATTCCCAGCTGTGTGTAAGCCTGGAAACATGCTATAAGATTGTGGCTAATAGAGAACTCAGCCAGTCAGAGAGGAGAGTCAGACTGCATCCAAAAATGGAACCCTATATCCTATATAGTGCACTACTGTTGGATCCCATAGGGCTCTGATCAAAATTAGAGCACTATATAGGGAATAGGGTGCCATTTGGGACACAATCTACATAAGGTATGATAGCACTTTACAGCTCAGGGGTGGCGACGTCACAAAACGTGATAAAACTGCGTGTAAGAAAATGTATAATTAACCACACTTTTACAGTGCCATTGTTAAAAGTTTAAGACGCCACCACCCATATTTTTAATGGGAAGTAAAGCGCAACTAGTGCCACTGGGCAGCAGAAGTATATGGGCGGGCACAGCAGGAGAAAATGTAAAAACAAGATATTCACTGATGTATGGTCGAGTGCCGGCCAGAGTGGCGTAGTGCGAGTGAGAGCCGAGGAATGCCAAGTGCGGCGCTGAAAGAGAAAGAAAGGAGAAAAAGAGAGAGAGAGAGAGGGATGAAGAGGGATGAAGAGTGTGGGAGAGAATGTATGTCAAGCTCTGAGAGCTTCTCCCACACACTGGCTGCGGTTGAAATGACACCCTATTCCCTTTGTAGTGCACTACTTTTGACCAGAGCCCTATGCAGGCCTTGATCAAAAGTAGTGCACTATTTAGAGAATAGGGCGCCATTTGAGACGCAAGCCACTATAAACCCCCATATGAAATCTTATTAGTGACAAGAAATGCAAAAGAGGAGAAATTGCACCGAAATGCCTAAGGGGAAACAAGTCAGTCCGATGCCCACTGAAAGAGAACTGTTCATCTCTTGTGTGTAAAGAGAAACCGCCGTTTCTCTTCGCTCCACTCAACAGTGTATTGGCGTCAACAATGTAGCCTACTGTATTGTAACAAGGATAGGGAATAGCAATCTGGGGTGTGAGTGCTTTTGTTCTAACTCCTGTCTTCGGGAGGGATGTTATGGTTCATTATAATTGTGCTGACCGTGCTGCTTGCCCCTGGGAGTCTGTTTGTACTGTCAGATAGTGTTGATGATCAGGATGTGTCCTGGGCTGCGTCCCAAATGGCACCTTATTCCCTATATAGTGCATTACTTCTGACCTGGGCCCATAGAGAACTATTGCACTATGTAGGACATGGGGTGCCATTTGGGACACAACCCTGGATTTCCATAATGAAGCGTTAACATTAACAGCCTGGTGTATTATCTGGCTTTATACAATGGGTGGGTCTAATCCTGAATGCTGATTGGTTAAAACCGCATTCCAGCCAGTGTCTATTCCACAAGTTACCACCGGCTAAATCTATGATGTTAAAATGCCTATTTACTCTGTTCCATCTGACTGCACAATCCACTGTCTCATCAGCCCAGCTAAGCAATTTATAAACTTGATCTCCACTATAAAAAGCATTTAGACATTATCTCAATTTCTTTTAGACTAACATTTAGTTTTCAACAGGGGAGATTTGTATAAACCTTGCTGTCTGTCTCCGACATTTGCAACATTGTTTCAATATTCAAATTCGATCTCCAGCTGTCCCATAGTAATGAACGTGTCGGGAGTCGCGACGAGACAGACAGGCAGGCATCATTTTTATGGATATATACAAAGAAATGTCAATTATTTATTTTTTAAACAAAACGAAGCACAGCTAGTTTGCAGTCTTTCCAGCTTCAGTTTGAAGTGATTGTGTTAGCTGTGTTGTTGGCTAGCTCCCCTGAACAACAGTGTCCTGATGAGTGAGCACGTTTTCTATGCCAGACGAAATCGCGCATCATTTGCTCATTGTTATGCATGTATCCAAATAAATGTCTCTAGAAAACAGCTTAAAAAAATGCAAACGCAGCTACTTTGCTGGTATTCTGGCTGAACTTTTTGACGTGACTGTAAATTAGCCATAGTTGACTAGCTAGCAAGCAAGGGATAAGAACGTTGCCAGCCAGTATGGCAATGGAACATTTAGAACGAACAACTGGGTCGCGAAAATAGATACAGAACAAAAAGACTGAACGACTGACTCCCGACACGTTCATTACTATGGGACAGCTGGAGATCGAATTTGTCTCTGGCAACCGAACCGATAGAACGATCGGCCAGCCGGCTTGGGTAGCAACCCTAGATTTGTTTCGGGACTATATCTTGTGGAAGGATGAAATAGTATTAATACATTAATCAAAATAATGTTTTTAATGAAAATATGTCAATCATTTTTTAAATATGTTGGTAACCCATTGTATAAAAGTGATAATGCCCGAGAAGCCGGTGTTTGGAGGATATATTGGCATGGTGTTTGGAGGATATATTGGCCTCGACTTCATCTCAGACCTAACAACACCCGTGCCAATGTATCCTCCAAACACCGGCTTCACTGGCATTATCATTTAAGTGTGTGTCTCCACTCTCTCCTTCACTCCCGCCTGCCAGCAGCCCTGAAGCCATCCTTTTGCTGGAGGTGCCTTTCTTGTGTAAGCAGTCTTTATGACAGCCGCTTCCCGCCCTCTGATCGACGTGTTGACAAATTACATTCCTCTCAAGGGTGTGTGTGTGTGTAAGGTTGAGAGAGAGAGGAAAATACTAATCATATCAGCAACTTGGTTAACTAGTGTTATGATTACAATGTTTTGTAACAGAGAAAAACAGTAAACTTTATTACTGCGTTCTTCCTGAGTACCAGTGTTAGAGATAAGAGACAATGTGCCAGTACATGCAAATTCTCCATACTTGTAAATTCTGGTCAACCAGACAATACTGCTATGTATCCTATGTACATTCCACAACTGGCCACATAACCTTTAGGCCATTTGCATTTCAGGTAGAAGTTTCACCTAGATAGAGATCTAGGATCAGCTTCCCCTCCCCAATCATCACCTTAACCATTAGTGGGGAAAATACAAAACTGACCTCTGATCAGTGTCTAGAAGCAACTTCATCCTACACTGATAAAAGTCTGGACCCTGGCCAATCACAACCAGGTCTCACCTTTGCCCTGGTTCCTGGGGGGCAGAGGGGGGGCATCGGCCACGGGGGAAGAGGAAGTGAGGTCGGTGGAGGCGGAGTACATCTGGTTGGTGAAGGCGCTGTAAGACATGCGCTGCTGTTTGTCCCGGTGGCTGATGAAGCCCGGCAGAGACAGCTTGTCATGGGGAGACAGGCTGGACGAGTGGCAGAAACTCTGGGGCCGCGGGGAACGGTCCTTCTTTATGGGACTAGGCTGCAGACAGAGAGGGAGAGAGAGACAAGTGTCAACTTGGAAGAGTGTCAACTTAGGAACTTTGACATTTCATTCCAAAATCATGGGCATTAATATGGAGTTGGTCCCCCCTTTGCTGCTATAACAGCCTCCACTCTTCTGGGAAGGCTTTCCACTAAATGTTGGAACATTGCTGCAGGGACTTGCTTCCATTCAGCCACAAGCGCATTAGTGAGGTCGGGCACTGATGTTGGTTGATTAGGCCTGGCTCACAGTCGGTGTTCATCCCAAAGGTGTTTGATGGGGTTGAGGTCAGGGCTCTGTGCAGGCCAGTCAAGTTCTTCCATACCGATCTTGACAAACCATGGCTGCTTGGCCATGGAAACCCATTTCATTAAGCTCCTGACGAACAGTTCTTGTGCTGACGTTGCTTCCGGAGGCAGTTTGGAACGTGGTAGTGAGTGTTGCAAGCGAGGACAGACGATTTTTACACGCTACGTGCGTGAGCTTGTGTGGCTTACCACTTCGTGGCTGAGCCATTGTTGCTTCTAGACATTTCCACTTTACAATAACAGCACTTACAGTTGACCGGGGCAGCTCTAGCAGGGCAGATATTTGACAAACTGACTTGTTGGAAAGGTGCATCCTATGACGGTGCCACGTTGAAAGTCACTGAGCTCTTCAGTAAGGCCATTCTACTGTCAATGTTTGTCTATGGAGATTGCATGGCGGTGTGCTCGATTATATACACCTGTCAGCAACGGGTGTGGCTGAAATAGCCGAATCCTCTAATTTGAAGGGGTGTCCACATACTTTTGTATATATAGAGTATTTGCACATGGATTTCAAGTTGTGTTCTCTGTCCAGATGTGTGAACCTGCAGTCCCAGTCTGACCTTGTCATCGAGATCATCATCGCTCTCGTCCAGCTCGTCCAGCCTCAAGCTCCACTCATACTCCACGTGGACATGAGGGTAATACTTCCCCGCTGCAGCCTGCACCAGCTGGGGAACACAAATGTTGATTACTTCATTTGGATCCACAATGAAACAATGAAATACAGAGGACATACAAATTAACACACAGTGATTATATCCCACAAAGCAAGTCATAACGAACAATCTACCACAATGAATACCTCCAACATGAATTAGATTGTTGTCCTCCTTTATTTTGATGTGCAAAACATGCCATAATATCACTGATGGTAAAGCACCAACTTAGTTTTCTGTGTGCAAATAGTAACCATACATCAGTAATGGTTTCCTCTCTGAAGTCACTAGAAGCCTGGGTAGGCCTTTGGCTGCTGCCATCTAGTGTCCAAAGATGTGCTGGTTAACAAGTCCCTTCGATCTAGACTATCTACTGTGCTGCTACATCATCAGATATTGTGTGGATGCTACTTCAACAAAGAACAGGATTGCATCTTTAAATATTGCTATCAATTCATGCAATTAATAGCCAAACATATAGTGGTTATGGAGCATATTGGCTCATGTTCACAGTGAGATACTTACTGCCTCCTCACACTGACTGTTCTTCATACGCCTGGCAATATCCAGCGCCGTCTCACCATTCTGATTGGCTAAAAGAACAGGCATGATATTGGTTACACTAGACGCATACATTCCATCGATGTGTATAAAACAGTGGAGGCTGCTGTGGTTAAGAGCGTTGTGCCAGTAACCGAAAGGTCTCTGGTTCTAATCCCCGAGCCGAGTAGGTGAAAAATCTGTCGATGTGCCCTTGAGCAAGGCACTTAACCCTAATTGCTCATGTAAGTCGCTCTGGATAAGAGCGTCTGCTAAATGACTTAAATGTAAATGTAAATAATAATGGCTGGAACAGAGCAATGGAATGGCATCAAACACATGGAAATCATGTGTTTAATGTATTTGTTAGCATTCCACTAATTCCGCTCCAGCCATTAACACGAGCCATCCTGTGGTAGAAAACACAATTTTGATTAGCCAAAAACAGAACAGGCATGTTAACATAACCAAGTCTGATTACATTTACATATGAGTGTGTGTGTGTGTGTGTTACTCACTGATGTCAGTGGCTGGTTTGCCCCTCAGCAGTAGTTTGAGGCATTGGTGTTTCTCGTACATGCAGCAGTAGTGCAGGGCAGTGTTTCCCCACTCGGTCTGCTTATCCAGGTTCCCACTGTGACATGTCACGGGTCACACCCCAGAGGTAAAAGGTGTCACATTATCATTCACGCTTTGATCACACATACTGCTTTAATACCTATTTTTCACTACGGCTGACAAAATATACACAGAGTGTACAAAACATTAGAAACACCTGCTCTTTCCATGACAGACTGACCAGGTGAATCCATGTGAAAGCTATGATCCCTTATTGATGTCACCTGTTAAATCCACTTCAATCAGTGTATATAAAGGGGAGGAGACAGGTTTAAGAAGGATTTTTAAGCCTTGGGACAATTGAGACATATATTGTGTATGTGTGCCATTCAGAGGGTGAATGGGCAAGACAAAATATTTAAGTGCCTTTGAACGGGGCATGGCAGTAGGTGCCAGGCGCACCGGTTTAAGTGTGTTGAGAACTGCAGCGCTGCTGAGTTTTTCACGCTCAACAGTTTCCTGTGTGTTTCAAGAATGGTCCACCACCCAAAGGACATCCAGACAATTTGGCACAACTGTGGGAAGCATTGAAGTCAACATGGGCCAGCATCCCTGTGGAACGCTTTCGACACCTTGTTGAGTCCATGCCCTGACGAATTGAGGCTGTTCTGAGGGCAAAAGGGGGTGCAACTCAATCTTAGGAAGGTGTACTTAAGTCACACTAAGATGTTGACTGGTAAGTGGTTGGTCCTCATTTCATCTCCTCCTATCCCTGAATGGAAAACAATTAGCCCAATTACCAAGTGTAAGCATGAAATCATGAAGGTGGACCTATTAATTAATGAGGAGCCCCCATTTCCCGGTAACGGTCTGCCTGAGGTGCAGCGAGGCAGGGAGCAAACAATTGAAAAGACTGATGAATAAATTAAGGCGGAGAACAAGTGGCTGCCTGACCCAGTTCTGTTTGCCTTGTGGGAATCTAAGCTGTGCTGAGCTCTAGTCTGCTCATCTTCCTCTTGCAGTGGTGGAGAGATGAGAAGAGAACACTGTCTTTCATGAAGCTATTCCATCGAAACCTCACATTTAACACATCAATTTACATGACCAAATGGTGGAAATAGTACTTATTTATAATATTCTGTTATGTTTTTTAGTATATGGGCACAACAGCTTATGAAGTCTGTGCTTTCACTGCATTTAAAATCCCATTTCACATTAGCCCAATGCTATGGTAGCCTGTATGGCATAATATGCATATCTTCACTTTATTGACAGGGCCTTATTTGGTCATTTTACCTGTTTTGTACAAGGAAGTCCACCAGGTGCAGTGAGGTCTGGTCGGCGGTGCGCACAGAGTAGTGGAGCGCAGTCTCTCCGGCCTCCTGAAGGGGGCGATCACACACAACAAAAACATGAGACTTTCTACATGGGGAGAACAGCAGGCAGCATCCATTCTACACTCTCTCTCAGCATTTAAAGAGGCTGCAGTCAACAAAATGGCTCCTAAAAATAGCTTGTCCCCCCCCCCCCCATGAACAAAGGCCACCACCACCACCTCACTGGTCGTGATTGAACTCACACTTGCCGAGATAATCAGCCATCAAGTCGTTGAGATCTTCCTTGGTGGGTGTATCCTTCAAACATTATGCATGTCATTGCGTGTCTCCTTGTGTCTCCTCTAATTGAAAATGACTGGTAGTTACATCGCTGATTTATCTCTGCGAGTCCCAAGTATGGAGACTTATTGGGAAGAGTGTGCACACAGTGACACACGCAATACCAATTACTATGAGTCAACCAGAGAAGCAGGGTATCCGTTTGGGAAGAGGGAGGGGCTACTTTGTCATGTATTCCTGTCACACCCTCACTGTCTGCGGCTCTGGGTCCTGAGTGGCGCAGTGGTCTAAGGCACTGCATCGCAGTGCTAACTGTGCCACTAGAGATCCTGGTTTGAATCCAGGCTCTGTCGCAGCCGGCCGTGACCGGGAGACTCATGGGCGGCGCACAATTGGCCCAGCGTCGTCCAGGGTAGGGGAGGGAATGGCCGGCAGGGATGTAGCTCAGTTGATAGAGCATGGCGTTTGCAACGCCAGGGTTGTGGGTTCGTTTCCCACCGGGGGCCAGTATAAAAAATAAAAAATATTTAAAAAAAATAATGTATTCACTAACTGTAAGTCGCTCTGGATAAGAGCGTCTGCTAAATGACTAAAATGTAAAATGTAAATGATATGTGCTGTCTGCTGGGGACACTCAACCAGCATCCCAAAAGGAACCATATTATAATGCACTACTTTTGACCAGAGCCCTGGGATGCAGCCTCTCACAGCCAGGATTGCATTAGATATCAGTGAGTCAGCCTGGGCTAGAAGCTCTGCCTGCTTTCAAACAGAGTCAGTGACTCATCCCTGGCCACTATTCCCTATGGACTACTTCTGAGAGCACACTGCAGTGCTACGTGGTTCAACGTTTAGTGGGTGGCAGTAGTGATAGCTTAACTGAGTCACTTTTCTCGTTTGGGCATTGTTGTCTTGTCCAACATTGCCCAGTAGTAAAAACTCTGTTTTTCTCTGTGGACTGTTCATTACTTTGCCCATGTACAGTACAGCCTCCTTACAGACTCAGTACAACCTAGTATTTCCCTATGAAACAGTACACTTCTGCTCATATTGTAAAACCAGACCCCCCATACCAGATCAGGGCCCATATTCATCAAAGCGTCAGGGTATGAATGCTGACTTAGGATCAGTTTTAACTTTTGGATCATAATGAATAAGATTACAAGGACAGGGGGACCTGATCCTACACCAGCAATCCTATGAGATGCTTTATGAATATGGGCCCTGATCAGGTGAGATGAGATAATAATACAGTCCAGGGCCTGTGACATCAGAGGTCAGACTCACCTGTCCACCCTCGGGCAGTGGCTCCATTAGCTCCACCCCCTCAGCATACACCTGGATGAGAGACAGCAGGTCCCTGGACTTGACCGCCTCACACAGCTCAATGGTCTTAGCTGCCGAGGAGGTACAGGTCTTCCGTGCAAACTTGTGGTCCACATACTTAGCATTGATGAACTCCTTCCTCACTGTCCTGTAGGAGGGAGAGAGGCGGGAGAATAAGGAGATGGTTGTGTGGATAGTTTTTCCTATAGAGATCCTTTCATTCAGTTTCTAGCATGAACGTTTTCCTGACCAAGATGGCTGATTTTTAGTCATGTTGCTAGGATGCCAATGTCCATTCTAGTGTTCTATTTATTTGTGGCTTTTCCTGCCAGACACATCTACCTGCATAAGCTCAAACATACACCTGATTATGCTTCCAGTGATGTCAAGTGATAAGTGAAAGTGAGGTAACATTTCTATGGAGTTTCTAAGAAGTTCATGTAGTTGTTGATGACGCTGAGTACTTACATGTCACTTGAAGGAGTGGGTTTCGGTGAGGGACAAGGAAGGTTCCCCTCCATTATTTCATTGAAACTACTGTTCCCTACGTTCTTAGCCAGCTGTGAAGGACATATCAAGTCTCATATGAATGTCAAGATGCTCGTTAGAAACACTTTGCTCTAATTGCCATCATAACAATCACGGCGTAATCAAGATTTATTTATTTATATCCTGTTTTTGAATCTATTTTGCATGTTGATCTACTGTGAAAATAACTCAATATAATGTTCACCAAATGTATTTCTTTTTTCACTCACCAAGAGTTCAGAGGTGCCTAGCTTATCTAGCTCCATGGATTGGATGCGTGAGATGTGAACTCCCATCTCCCGGTGGATGCCAGAGCACTCGATGCAGGTCAGGATGCCCAGGTTAGTGGACAGCCATTTTGGATCTAAGGGCACAGACAACATTACAATATACTCAGGTTAGAGAGCAGCCATTTTGTGGCGCATTGGCTTGCGGAGAGGCGTCTTGGCTACAAAACCACAAAAATCTGTCTGGAATTCACAGTTTAGTGCACAGCTGTTTTGGCTCCAAATATAACATTATGTTTTTTCAAAGTACTACCACAAATATACAATTTACAATTGAAATCCAGAACGATAATGCTGAACACAAGGGGGTTTAATTTTCCATCTGAACACTTGCATTGTGCCGTGTTTGTATTCACTGACAATGTATAAGCTGACAATTTGTTTCATGGTCGTATTCACTAGGCACCAAACGAAAGAAACCTGACTGAAACAGGGAGGGACAAACTGAATGTATAAGAAATGTTTGTTGCAAAACGTTTTGCTACGGTGTGCACTAGTGAATACAACCCAGGTCCACCATCACATCAACGTGAGCAGCGGCAATGCACAGCACACACCACTAGAGGGCCTCGGCAGCATCAGACCCACCAACCACACCGACTGGACTACCAGAGCCCAGCAACTAGAAAACATTGCATCATTCTGTGTCAAACTGAATGCCTGTACATGCTCTGACAGCAGAGCCATGTGGTGGAAGGCTAGAGAGGCTTTGGGCTCTTCACTGTAAACTGCTACAGTGACTGACACCACAGCCAAGCATGAGTGATGCAATTGAAGGAGGCTTAAACCCAGCCTGATATCAAGCCTGAGAGCCCTACGCAGCTACGCAGATGTAAACACACTATCTTTACAGATGGCTGAGTGCTGTTAGCTGTTAGGCTAACTAGCGTGTCTGGATTTGACAGGTCTGTGCCGGACGGACTCGGGTGGAATGGTTTCAGAGGCGGCCAAACACCAATGAGTCACATGCAGGATGGCAATAGAGGCAATAGATGACCATAGAGAAGACAGGAAGCTCAGGGTGGGGTGAGAGCTCTAGAGCTGCAAAATATTTTGCACTAATACTCCTCTAGAGAGCTGTATTTTAGACAGGATCAGCCGAAGGAGCACCCTAAATAAGCCTGCAGTACACTAGCACATTATCAACGTGTTAAATAAACTCACTCCATAGAGGGGAAATCAGCAAAACTGTGTCTGTGTGTATGAATTATGTAACATAATGACGTTGTCGCAACAAACCGGTATTTTTTTATTCGCTAGCGGCCTGCACTCTCCTCAGTGCTCTCTGTGTGTTTATGCTGACAGTGTGTGTGTGTATTGGGGGAGTCAGAGGGCCAGGGTGTCTCTGCTTGGGGAGTGCTGAGTCTCTGTTTTTACAGCAGGGGAGGATCAAGTCAGAGGGCCAGAAAGGACCAACACCACTGTTACATCCTGAATACAGAGAAGGCTCCTGGTGCTGCTTTGCTGCTTGTTTGGTTAACGGTGACATTGCAGGAGGGCTGCATAGAATATCCCTAACTACTGAGGGAGATGGGGAGCAGCCATGACAGTGCAGAAGAGTGGATCAATGTTGGGCTGAGCAGGGATTTCTGAGGGACAACCTTGATGATGGTTGGGGATGTGTGAGTTCTATAGGGATGTGTGAGTTCTATGGGGATGTGTGAGTTCTATAGGGATGTGTGAGTTCTATGGGGATGTGTGAGTTCTATTGGGATGTGTGAGTTCTATGGGGATGTGTGAGTTCTATTGGGATGTGTGAGTTCTATGGGGATGTGTGAGTTCTATTGGGATGTGTGAGTTCTATTGGGATGTGTGAGTTCTATGGGGATGTGTGAGTTCTATTGGGATGTGTGAGTTCTATGGGGATGTGTGAGTTCTATTGGGATGTGTGAGTTCTATGGGGATGTGTGAGTTCTATTGGGATGTGTGAGTTCTATGGGGATGTGTGAGTTCTATTGGGATGTGTGAGTTCTATTGGGATGTGTGAGTTCTATGGGGATGTGTGAGTTCTATTGGGATGTGTGAGTTCTATGGGGATGTGTGAGTTCTATGGGGATGTGTGAGTTCTATTGGGATGTGTGAGTTCTATTGGGATGTGTGAGTTCTATGGGGATGTGTGAGTTCTATGGGGATGTGTGAGTTCTATTGGGATGTGTGAGTTCTATGGGGATGTGTGAGTTCTATGGGGATGTGTGAGTTCTATGGGGATGTGTGATTTCTATAGGGATGTGTGAGTTCTATGGGGATGTGTGAGTTCTATGGGGATGTGTGAGTTATATGGGGATGTGTGAGTTCTATGGGGATGTGTGAGTTCTATAGGGATGTGTGAGTTCTATTGGGATGTGTGAGTTCAAGGGCGAGATAAAATGCTGAAGCAAAGGTGTCGTTGTCTTCTCCCATGACAAGGTGAATGGTGAGTAAGCTCAAAGTAGTGGTATAGTGGACAATCTAGAATGTGAGAGTCCCTTGGAAAACCATAGAGGTTGTGTATGTCCCAGGAACCACACACACGTGCACCCATAGATGTCATACTATATGTACCTGCAGCGCCACAGTCACAGCAGACTTCATTGCCAGGCATGCGCAGCACCTCCTCTATGATGGCTTTGGTCAGGTCCTCCAGGCCATCCTCTCCTCCTACTCCGTCCTCTTCTCCGCGGAATGCCATGTTCAGAGCTTCCTCCTTACTGTTGGATAGCACAGAGATCCAGCTACACACGACACAGAGACAATAGAGAAAACAAGTTATTACAAAGCAAGGGTGTTTTCAACATGTACAAGCATTGAACTACATAAAGAAGTATGTATCATAAGATCTCTGTGTATAAGCCTCTTAGGTAGAGACTTTTAGCAAAGGGGACCACAATGGAAATTAGTCTCTTTATCCTTGACAATTTTGGTATTTGTGTCTGTTGCCATTTTATGTATTTTGAATGGTCAAATCAAATCACATCAGATGGGACAACTCCAACTCCATCTGACGCTATCTATATCTATACTCTATGTATTAATATAACTGTATACTGCGTTACATTGACATCTTGACAGCTACTTTGCATTCACCCTACCTGGGACCTACATTTGCCTACAGTGTCAACCACATACTGTAGTGTACTGTACAATACACAACCCTATCTAACCAGCCAGCAGCCCCAGATACCCTCTCATGACATTCAAACCAACACATCTGGACAATCGCCACGCACACACGCATGAATTAGCAGGAAGTAACTGCCAATCAAACATGAGTCGGTGGCTACTGTTGTTCAGCACAGAACAGTACAGCACAGCTCACTCTGCCATTAGACTGCTAGTTAGACTAGCACAGGACACAGCACAGGTGAGTGCGAGTGAGCGAGTGAGAAATAACAAGAAATTAGACAACGGTATGCAGAGATGTGGGTGTATGTGTGTCTTTAAGGGTGAGCGTGTTTACTTGCGATGCACAAGACATGGGTGGAGGAGCATGTGATTGCGTAATGCAGGGATGCTATATTGTCAAGTGATAAATGTTTTAATCCAAACACTCGCATGAAGCGACTTCATCACTGTATGGTCTGCCTCAGCTGGAAGTGCGTGACAGCACAGAGCTTAGAGTGTGGAGTCAGCATTTGTGTGTGTGTGTGCATGAGTGTACATGTGTGTTCCCTAGTTACAGATACTTTATGAACTCACTGACATCAGGGCCCGCAGCTGAGATGTGGCTGTGTCCCAAATGGCACCCTATTCCCTATGAAGTGCACTACTTTTAACCAGAGCCCTATGAGCCCTGGTGAAAAGTACACTCTTAGAAAAAAGGTGCTAAGTGGAACCATACAGATTTCTTTGGTTTTTCCCCATAGGGTAACCCTTGTTGGTGCTGGGTAGAACCCTTTGCAGTAGGGTTCTTCAAATAACCCCCTGTATATGGTTCTACCTAGAACCCTCTATGAAGGGTTCTACCAAGAACCATTTTACCAGCTAAAGGTTATTCCCAGAATCGTCTGTAAAAGTTTCTACCGAGAACCATTTTATCTTTGGAGGGTTCTTCCTAGAACCGTCTATGAACGGTTCCACCAGCCTTATTAGCCTTTAAAATGTTATTATTTATGACAATACATTACATATATCATAAAGCCTTTATTTGAGGGCCTAATTATACCCTAACACAGTGGTGTTAGGAATTTTCGGGTTTACAAGACACATCAGGCCTGCAAGTCACATTATGCTGGCTTGCAAAGTGATGTGTAATTCTATTGGAATCCAGCCAGAGTTAGGATATCCAACAAGTGGAATTGTTAATCACCTACAACCTACATTCAGAATGACTGTCAGGGTAGGGAAGAGTGAATACTGAGACTACCTCAATCATCTAAACTGGAACAACCATCTCAGTAACAGGTGCAATAAATCCAATTACTGTCTGTTATTTATATTTGTGTAGCATACAATTAATCAACCAAGCAATGTACATGCAAAAACACAGATATTACAGTAAAACAAACAATTCTGAAAATCTCCCTGCAATAGAGCATGCTGGGAAATATTATATATCGTTCTATGTAGAACCCTTCTTGCCTTCCAAAGAATCATCAAAGAACCCTTTCTTCCAAAAACTGTTCTTAGGATGTTAAAGGTTCTAGGTAGAACCCTTTGCCTTACAAAGAACTCTTGTCCGTAGATAGTACGTATAAGCTGGAAGTAGAGGCCTAAGCATTGTTGTTCACTAATTTACCCCAAGTAGGGAAAGGATGGCGGGGTTGAAAAGTAATAAAGGGGAGTATATATATAAAAAACATGGGGGAAGTGATGCAGACAATTACATTGATGGAAGTTACAATCTATCTGCAATATTAAGCTGATCTACCCCCCCCCAAAAAAAATATATAAAAAATAATAAATAAAAAAAGAACCCTTGTCTTCCAAAAAGGGTTCTTCTGATCAAAACAGTTCTTGGTAGAACCCTATCCCTCCCCAAAGAACCCTTTTGGAACCCTTTTTTCTAAGAGTGTAGTGCACTACATAGGGAATATGGTGCCATTTGGGATGTATCCTAAAGCAAGGCCGATTGTGTCTCAGTATAATGAAAGTTGCAATATGTAACTTTTTGGGCTACCTGACCAAATTCTCATGGAAATGTGAGTTATAGATCTGTCATTCTCATTGAAAGCAAGTCTAAGAAGTGGTAGATCTGTTCTAAGTGCGCTATTTCTATGCTTCCCGTTCTTAAGTTTCATTTTTGCGTTTAGCTGCCCCCCCTCTTGACAGCGGAGAAAAAAGTTGTAGTATTAATTTCCTGCAGTTCTACACATTTTGCCATAGGGTGCAGAGAAAATGTTGCAGTTTTATAACTCATTTAATGCAATTCTACTCATCTACTCATTAGCAGTTTTACAGCTTATTTCCTACAATTCTACACATTTTGACATAGGGTGGAGAGTAATGTTTGCAGTTTTTAATATGATATCTGAGTGAGAGTGACTAACAAAATCAATGGGGGCCCACGGTCGGTAATTCGACCATGATTACTACAAGTTTAGATAGCTGTCCGTTAGACTAATTTACCAACCTTTTTTGCTGACATGGGCTAATTGAGTAGGTGTCAGTGACCGACATAACAATATAAATACTGCTGATCCACAACCAAATTTCGAAATTGCATCTTGTGTATTCTACTACAATTGTATTTATCAGCGGGCCAACGCCAGTTGCCCATCCCTGGGTTACAGTGACCTGAATAACAACTACAGATCCCACAGATACAGGTGGATACCCTTACCGCTGCTAGCACCTAGCAGTCCTCTCTCTCTTAGGGATAAAAATACCCTTGTCAATGGAGCATGAACACTAGACAAAACCTCTAAACGTTTTTCATTAAAGAAAACGGTGTCTTTCTTTGTTAAACCTCACTGATCTTGTCTTTCACACTCATACATTATCAGGGCAAGGTTCATTGCTTCAGCGTGCATTACTTTAGGGCTGGCACGGTAATTGTATAACCCCCCCGTATGCAATCCCTCCCAGCAGCAGCACATGCAGTCAGGAGCAGAGGAGAGGAGAAAATGTGCGTCCTTATTTGTAAAAATGTTTTTCTATTCAAACGATTATAACGGTGACTGTGTGACTTGGCTGACAAATAACCGTCACCCAAAATTCCATCACAGTCCTATCTTACTTTGTACCTGCCTTTGGAGTTGGATACTAATAGTAGTTGGATGTTTATAATGTGGTGATTGTGATGATACACTTACATGACAAACTCCTGTTCATCCTCAGCCTGGAAGTGATATGTCCGGTTATCTGTGGCCAGAGAGAAGATTAGACGGGAATGTGATCTCTCAGACCCAGCAGACACTGTGTAATCATGTAATATAATATACCCCTGTTGAGATGCATGTTGGGTAATTCACAAGCACAGCGTGTTTCAGGCATTGTCATGACACCATTCTAACAGGAAGCCAGAAAATAGAGTTTGTGTCAAAGAGCTACTGGCGGCCTGTGGCACAAAATGATCTCTTCGACGCTTCCTGTTTCTGAATGCCCATATAAGGTAATATAAGGCCCCATCTCTCACAGCCCATCTCACACCCATGGTAACTACTGTGTTGGTGTGGGGGGTTACAGGAAGAGGTACTTACGGGAAATGAGGTCGAAGCACTTCCTGTCCTCAGCGCAGGGCTTGACTTGGCAGGTGAGCAGGTTAAGTTTCACAGGCTGCCTGTTGGACTGCACAAACACACAGAGACAGACGACTTAGCTATTTGATAGAAATTCTGAAAATGAGTCTGTACATCAACCAGTATTGGTCCTATGAAACTAACGCTACAAGCCTACCTGACTCTGGATGGTCCCGTGTGGCTCAGCTGGTAGAGCATGGCACTTGCAACGCAGAGTTGTGGGTTCGATTCCCAAGGGGGACCAGTACGAACAAATATGAAAATGTATGCACTCACTACTGTAAGTCGCTCTGGATAAAAGCGTCTGGTAAATGATGGGCTGGGGTGGTAAAGTAACAGGTCAATTAATCTGTTGATGTAAGGCATTGTGGGTAATGTCCTTTAGTCTAGACTGAATAAAGAAATCACTTTCGACACCTTGTAGGGTCCATGCCCCGACGAATTCAGCCAGTTCTGAGGGCAAAAGGGGAAGGTGTTCCACATAGGGAATAGAGTGCGATTTGGGACGCAGCCTGAACACTAGACTTAACAGTGTATGTAGCTAGCCTAGGGAGAATCCCAGGTATTCCCTCAGTACTGTATCTGTCTGTGGTCCAGGCATCACCACTTTGGCTTGGCTTCAGTTACAATACCCACTGTAATAATATGATAATACCAGTGTGCCCAGTTGGCACGTGTGTAGACTGGGCACTGCAATGTGACTGTGCCCGGGCATGCGGGCAGTGGGGATGGTGAGAGGTGTTAACAAAACGTTAACGGGCTGTGATGAGCCCTGTGGTGAGGCTGCCAGGCTGGCACAGGAGCTGATGGGTAATAAACATGGAGCGGAACGGAGGGTGGAAATATGTGTGGAAATGAGGATCGATTAGTCACATTTGGGGGAGTTCACCACAATCTAGAGTTGCAATAAGAAAAACAGGGGCAAGCTAGTGTGTGTGTGTGTGTGCTCTCTCACACACTCTTGTGTGCATGTATGTGTCTGTGTATCTATCACAGCCTTGCTTATTGTACTAGCTCTCAGCAGCACAGTGCACAGGGGGGGGCTAAGGGGTTGCCTTGGTAACCCACCCATGTTGATTCCTCTCTGCCAACTGCCAGATTGATAGTGCCCTACACAGGTTCCTTCCTACTGGATGTTGGCTTTGATCTAACCTCGACAGGAATGTGTAAGGGTGCTCAAATGTGTTTGTGTGTATGTGTGTGTGGGTTGGTTCTGCTACCCTTGTGGGGACCTACAATCCCCAAAGGTCCCCACAAGGATAGTAAAACAAAGAAAATTCTCCCTCGTGGGGACATTTCCCACATCCCTATGAGGTCAAAGGCTATTTTAAGCTTAGGAGTTAGGTTTAGGGTTAGGGTTATAATTAGGTTTAGGGTTTGGGTTAGGTGTTAAGGAAAATTGTAGGTCCCCACGAGGATAGAAGAACATAACGTGTGTGTGTGTGTGTTTGTGTTTGCCACTCACCGTAGCATGAGAGATAGTGAGCATGCCACCCTTCACTGAACACTTCCTCCTCTGCCACACCTTCCTCAGCCTGCAGGAAGACAACAACACCAAGTCACAACGAAAGATCAGAAAAAGCCTCTTCATGTCTGTGTATGTTCAGTACTGTTCAGTGTATGTGTGTGTGTGTGACCTACCCATCACTCTTCTTCATCAGGTAGCCTTTCTTCTCACAGCCAAACTCTTTGTTGCCCTGCAACTGGTGCATACTGTAACCCCCCTGCTTACTCTGGGAGTCCTGTAGCAACACACACACAGTGTTTAGACACAGAAAACACAGCAACTCACCACACATAACCAACCAAATATACCTCTTACAGAGAGTGCAGGCCAGGGTCGTGTGTGTGTGTGTGTTTGTGACCCACATGGCCTTTCTTATTTCTTGGGTCGCACTTGATGTTCAAAGGATCATGGTGTACATCCCAAATGGCACCCAACTCTCCATTTATGCCACTACTTTACACAAGGGCTCTGATCAAAAGAAGTACAATATATAGAGAGTAGGGAGCCATTTGGGAGGCACACATGTTCCAACACACTATCAGATGAAAAACACAGCAAGTTTCTAATGTAAAAAACACAGTGGAGGGCATGCTCTTCAAAATCTGTCAGAAGCATGCTAACACTTACTCTTCTAGACTTGAGTCCAGACAAGCAGCGAGTAGAGAGGGAAATAGAGAGAGAGCGTGTGAAAGAAGCCGCTCCGGTAAAGTTGTGAGTGAGAGTGCCTGCATGCATAGAGTGTAGGTGTTAGTGTTGCACGGTTAATACGAGTGAGTGAGTTAGTGCGTGAGTGAGTGACAGCATTTGTGTGTGGGTGTTCTAAACCAGAGGATGTTTAGTGTGAATCATAGGTTCTGTCCCAAATGGCAGCCTGTTCCCTATATAGTGCACTACTTTTGCCCATAGGGCTCAGGGCTCTGGTCAAAAGTAGTGCCCTATGTAAGGAATAGCATGCCATTTGGGACGCAGCCAGATAGTTGTAGCTGTGTTGATACGGCAGGCCAGTCCATCTCACTATTATACAGTAGCAACACGCAAAACACAGTTAGCAGCTAGCATTCACTAAAAGTGAGTGTGAGACTGAGTGAGAAACCACATTGATGTATGCGGCAGTTGTGACCAGTGAGTGCTCAGAAAGCCTTTTTTATCTCAATATCAAACATTTCTGGGTAACAATTAAGTACCTTACTGTGATTGTTTTCAATTAAAATGGTCAAAAAGAAACAAAAATAGCTTCTTAGCAAAGAGCAATTTCTCAAGCAAGAATTTTGCTAGGACTGTCTGGGAGTGGTCTGAGTGGGGAGGGGAAAACGGAAAACTAGCTGTTATTGACAGGGAGGTTTGAAACCAGGTAGGCCAAAACTCCATCCCTCCAAAAAAGGCTGAAAATTCAGGCAGTGTTGGTCCACATCACCAACAAACTATCATGGTCCAAACACACCAAGACAGTCGTGAAGAGGGCACGACAACACCTTTTCCCCCTCAGGAGACTGAAAAGATTTGGCATGGGTCCCCAGATCCTCAAAAAGTTCTACAGCTGCACCATCGAGAGCATCCTGACCGGTTGCTTCACCGCCTGGTATGGCAACTGCTCGGCATCCGACCATAATGCGCTACAGAGGGTAGTTACCAGCCAAGGCCTCACTCTGCACTACAGGAGACTAGCTAGTAGCTACACCTGCCATAGGGTCAAAGGTTAGGTGTGAGTCTACTGCTGCGGTCAGATTTTCTACCAAACATTGATTTGGTGCACGCATGGCTGGAGGGAGTTTCCACTATTTTCCTAACACCAGTTTATTCCATTTCAATCCATTAGGGGGAGCGTACAAGTGCACACTTCAGGAGAAGGGTAGAGAATTGGAATGCCACTTATATGTTTGTCAACTCTGGTCTGCTTGGGCCCACTTGGCCCTGTTTGGCCCAATTTGGACTAGATTGTTCTGTTTCTGCCTACCTCCTTCTGGTCCAGCTGAAGGGAGGACTTGATCAGGTCTCTAAGAGCAGTCAGCTGTTTTTTCTCCTCATCCTGGGTCTGCTTTATCTGAGAACATACACAGGGTGAGATAAGAGAGACAAACAAACAAACACACACAGGAATGCATGCGCACACACACAAACACACACACACACACACACACCCTCACTCACTCACTCACTCACTCAATCAGTCTAGATAACATGTCAGACTGCAGAGTAGCAGTAATCAGATAGAGAGAAGCCTGTGGGTGAGTATTTACATTGTAGAGGTCAGCAGCCAGCTTCTCAATGTACTGCTTCAGTTTATCCGCCGTCTTCAAGCCATCTTGGAAGAAGCTGCAAGAGAATACAGCACAGATATTAGAATTCCATTGAGATTTTCATTTTAATTCCAATGAAAGTGAAACGAAGGGCAGTCATTTGGTGGAGCATAGCATCTTTTACATCATTTAGAAATGTCAAGTGTCCTAGACTTATATGGCCATGAGGAAGGTCAAAATGAATAGAGGGGTGACTGAGAATGAGACTGATGCAGTGGGATATGTATAATGTATAGCCCTGCTTGGCCCTCTGGCTTTTGGCATAGAGATCTCTCTCTCTCCTGTCTCTCTCTGGCTGTGTCCAGAGTGGAATGCTAAGCACATCCTGTCATCCATTATGGATCTGCCAGTGCCAGTGGCATCTACCTGAATGCAGCATCCTCTCATCTCCACTAACAACCCTTCTATCCCCCTCTCTCTCTCTCTACCCCCTCTCTCTCCGTCTCTCTCCTACCCTCCAGGTATCCATCAGCTCCCTCAGCCCACTCATTCTACTGAAACTCCCAATGTTCTATAAGGCATGTCTCTACACTGTGATAGTCATAGTCTTGGGTTGAGTAGATAACCAGAAAACTGCATTGTTTTGTTTCCCCAATGTTATGACACAACCAAATAGCAAAACTGAGGCTGTCAGGGCTGTCGGTGACACAGCGTTGGGCTCAAGCCCTGGCACAGGGGGCGCCCATTATTTACCCACAAACCCCCACGGCTGTCACACCGCATCGTCATGAAGGGTCATGCATATTTATGAGAGCTAGAAATTACTTTGCAACCCTCCCTACCCAAGACTGGTGAATCATGCATCACCATCACCCCATTCAAGAGAGAGGGATGGAGGGAGGGGGGTTGAGAGGGAGCGAGATGAAGACACAGGGAGAGAGAATGAAAGAAAGAGAGGGAAAGCGAGAGAGAGCAAAGAACAATCATGGCGAGACATATATAGCTAGTCGTGAGAGTACACAGTGACATAATTCCCTCCGAAAAAGTGTGTTTGCCACCAATTAGACACATCTCAGTAGATGTGTTTGGGGGACTCTCACACTATGGTAAATGAGGGAGATACTGCGGTGCTGTTTATTTACTTGCATTGTGTGTGGTAATACTTGATGAGGTTCTGTACTGTTTACTTACTTGCATTGTGCGTGGTAATACTTGATGAGGTTCTGGAGAAGGTCCACTCCCTTCTTGGTCTTGATCTCGTTGACTTTGATCAGGTACTGTAGAGAAAACAAGTGGTGGTCTGTGAAAACTGACATCAAATAGAATACTCTGTTACATGATTTTGGAAATGCAATATGGAGTATTACCACGCTTATACATAGTGGTGATACATTAAACCAGGGGTAGACAATCACTGAAGGCTGAGTGTGGGCAAGGCTTTTGTTCGAGCCAAGCAGAAATACATGTGATTATACTAATCAAGGTTTTATTTGAAATCTATCATTTATTTGAAGGATATCATTTATGAACCAGTAAATCGTCATGTTACTGCTATGCCTTAACAAAAGTCTGCACCCACCCACACCAACCCTCTGCTGGAAGAATTGTCCACCCCTGCATTAAACCACAATAAAACACTATTTGTTTGTGTCAAATATGTCTTCTGAACACTTATAATAATCCTATCAGAATGCCCATACGATAGAGGTTCTGAGCCTCTGATTCATGATACCAACACAGCATGGAGTCTGTGGGAGCCGAAAAAACTAACGTCTAAACGTCACTGAAAAGAATGCCAATATACAGATGTAGGATCTTAATTTGAGCCAGTTTGAAAATAATCCTGCAGCAACAGGAAATGTGAATTATTATGTGGATTATAATTAATGGACATTTTTTGTAGGGGTTGATACTTTCTTCGTTAGGGCAAATCAAGTCTGACATTTTAAAGTGGGACATTTTTTTAGAAGCCTTTTTAAACCTCGAATACACTACAAGTTTGCATTTCCTGCTGTGCAGGAACATTCTCAGCAACAAAAGAGTGATCAAATTAAGATCCTACATCTGTAGAATATCATTAGTAAATTGTAAACTGTGTTTGAAAGGGATAACTAGAATTGTGTTTTTCATTTATTTTTCAGAAACCACTCCGCCCTCCAAATTAGCAAACTCCTCTGACAAATTCATGCCCAGCGAACAAATGAATAAAACATCATCTTAATCTGAGTTTATCCCATGGCGTGCCAATCTAGAACAGCTTGTGAAGAATCACTGCTAAGGACCATTTTCAGCTCCGCACACAGAGGACATTTAATCTATTCCAGAAAGCCCTTCTGAGGCACCTCCTGTCCCCCAAAGCTTCTCTGCTGCATTGCTTACCATGTGATCCTCTGTGTATGTGTGTGTGTGTGTGTGTGTGTGTGCGCGCATGTGTGTGCTCCCCTGAAACCAAACACACAGTCACACGTATATTGCTTTTGTCTGTCTGAGTGTGTGCGACTCAGAGATCATCCACTTTTTGTCTGTGCTGTCTGTGCTGTGGGGTGGGTTTAGTGTGTGTTGTGAATGCCTGTTGGTGCCTGTGTGTTATTGGGCTTGTGTCCACACAATGCTAGCAATGTTATCAATATATAATTATAATAATATATGCCATTTAGCAGACACTTTTATCCAAAGCGACTTAGTCATGCATGCATACATTTTACGTCAGTCATGCTTATAGGGTCGGCTATTCTTCCTGACAATATGACTTGAGCAGGAAAAACTTGAGGTTATAAACTCTGGGCCACTCTAGCACTACACTGGAAGCAATATCAACAATCCACAATAACAACAACACAGTGAATGAGATCACCCTAAAAACCCAAGAGAAACAAAACACCCCCCTTTCGCTGTACACAGAAATAGAGGTTGATGGGTTGAGCTACTCCATAACTGCTCCAATTAGAATCCCACAGTGAAGCACTAAGTTAATATGTAAATTGTCAGTACCGTTATGCCAAGTGAGCAAATAATCTGCAGATAAAGAGGGAGAGAGGAGTAGGCGTTTACACCCACCGGGAGGCAGCTCGTTGGCACAGCTGAGTGCATCGCTCTAACAGTTTGTTATTTTGCTCTGCCTTTTATATGGAGGATTGAAGCATAGAAATACAATATGATATAGTTTTTTGTGTCATTTTGGGGATATGTGCAACTAGTTTATAGCATCATCATTTATAGAACAGAGGTTGGCACGTATGCCCATTTTATTTTGTCCTCTTAGGTTTGGCCTGGGGTGGCAGGGCCCTGTCAGTGCCCAATCAGTGCCCACTAGTCTGTGCCCAATGCCCACTTCTAACCTCACACATCTGGAGTTGGAAGAGACGGCGTTCCTTCTCCATCTCCTCAGCAATCTCAGCGCCTGTTATCTCCGTACGAATCATCCCGTGCTGCTTGGCATGTTCCCTCTTCTCCTTCTCGATCTTTGTACTGAAATCAGACAGACAGACAGACAGTGTTAGTGAAACCAGACAAGACAGGCAAGAAGGAAGGAAGGAAGGAAGGAAGGAAGGAAGGAAGGAAGGAAGGAAGGAAGGAAGGAAGGAAGGAAGGAAGGAAGGAAGGAAGGAAGGAAGGAAGGAAGGAAGGAAGACAGACAGACAGACAGACAACCAGTGTTAAAGACAGACACTGTTAAATAAATCCATGACCTCACATTTAAATCAGATGGAATTCTCAGCATTAAAGAGAGCTTTCACAGGGCGGAACATTCCACTTAAATTATTGTTGTAATATATAGTACATCAGTTCTGATATTTTAATGACACCAAAAACAACTGTATGTATCACACAAGCAGACATAACCATATACAGTGCCTTCGGAAAATATTCAGACTCCTTGACTTTTCCACATTTTGTTACGTTACAGCCTTATTCTAACATTGATTAAATAAATACAAATCCTCAGCAATCTACACACAATACCCCATAATAACAAAGTGAAAACAGGTTTTTAGAAATGTATGCAAATTTTAAAAAAATTACAGAATACCTTATTTACATAAGTATTCAGACCCTTTGCTATGAAACTCGAAATTGAGCTCAGGTGCATCCTGTTGCCATTGATCATCCTTGAGATGTTTCTACAACTTGATTGGAGTCCACCTGTTGTAAATTCAATTGATTGGACATGATTTGGAAAGGCACACACCTGTCTATATAAGGTCCCACAGTTTACAGAGCATGTCAGAGCAAAAACCAAGCCATGAGGTTGAAGGAATTGTCCATAGAGCTCTGAGACAAGATTGTGTCAAGGCACAGATCTGGGGAAGGGTACCAAAACATTTCTGCAGCATTGAAGGTCCCCAAGAACACAGTGGCCTCCATCATTCTTAAATGGAAGAAGTTTGGAACCACCAAGACTCTTCCTAGAGCTGGCCGCCCGGCCAAACTGAGCAATCGGGGGAGAAGGGCCTTGGTCAGGGAGGTGACCAAGAACTTGATGGTCACTCTGACAAAGCTCTAGAGTTTCTCTGTGGAGATGGGAGAACCGTCCAGAAGGACAACCATCTCTGCAGCACTCCACCAATCAGGCCTTTATGGTAGAGTGGCCAGACGGAAGCCACTCCTCAGTAAAAGGCACATGACAGCCCGCTTGGAGTTTGCCAAAAGGCACCTAAAGACTCTCAGACCATGATAAACAAGATTCTCTGGGCTGATGAAACCAAGATTGAACTCTTTGGTCTGAATGCCAAGCGTCACGTCTGGAGGAAACCTGCCACCATCCCCACGGTGAAGCATGGTGGCAACATCATGCTGTGGGGATGTTTTTCAGCGGCAGGGACTGGGAGACTAGTCAGGATCGAGGCAAAGATGAACGGAGCAAAGTACAGAGAGATCCTTGATGAAAACCTGCTCCAGAGCGCTCAGGACCTCAGACTGGGGGCGAAGGTTCACCTTCCAACAGGACAACGACCCTAAGCACACAGCCAAGACAACGCAGGAGTGGCTTCGGGACAAATCTCTGAATGTCCTTGAGTGTCCCAGCCAGAGCCGGACTTGAACCCGATCGAACATCTCTGGAGAGGCCTGAAAATAGCTGTGCAGCGATGCTCTCCATCCAACCTGACAGAGCTTGAGAGGATCTGCAGAGAAGAATGGGAGAAACTCCCCGAATACAGGTGTGCCAAGCTTGTAGCGTCATACCCAAGAAGACTTGAGGCTGTAATCGCTACCAAAGGTGCTTCAACAAAGTACTGAGTAAAGGGTCTGAAATTAGCAAACATTTATAAAAACCTGTTTTTGCTTTGTCATTATGGGGTATTGTGGGTAGATTGATGAGGGAAAAAACATTTTAATCAATTTTAGAATAAGGCTTTAACCTAACAAGATGTGGAGAAGGCACTGTATAGTGCAAACCTCAAGTGTCCCAACACAGCTATGTACATGCACACATTTATTAACACACTTACAACTTAGCTTCATAATCCTTCCAGGCTTTGTCAAAGGGCTTCTTTATATCCTGACAGAAAGGGGAGAACAAAGTATCAGTAATCAGCAGCAAACAGGTCAATCTGGAATCTCACAGTACAGTGTTGACTCTGAGCATTCTCTCTCTCCAACACAGCCCCACATATGGCTGGCAAAATTACCGTATAATCGCATAACCGACGGTTAGTGCTTTTTGAGGTCAGTTCGGTTTCGGTTCGTGTGAAATCGCCAGTTGGTAACCCATCCCTTATGGGATTAATTGATACATAAACAAACATTACAATAATTCACTGTGATTATTCAGTGATAATTATTCTTCCGGTGTTCTCTGCAGTGCGCATCGCATAAAGAGTGAAAAAAATAAAAAATAAAAGAACACAAAAAAATTAAATTGAAATCAATATATAATAGTAAATAAGGTTATCCAAACAATAATGATATCCCTAGAGCAGTATAAAAATATACATACATACATATAGACAAATAAATACAGAAAAATTAAACAGAAGGCATTTGAACCCAGTCTAGCACAAAGGGAGGATTCATGTGGGAGACAGGCCTACTCACAATCTATATACACACGTGCCATTTACCACATAGACGCTAAATATTTTCATAATTTAATTATAGGTAGCCCTTTTTCTTTTATTCCAGGCTTTATCTAAATATTCCGCAAACGGAAATACACAACGGACAGAAAACCATTTCAGTTTCTCCTCATGGCTCAGCCACATAATGCCAGGGTATATCTGGTGGGCTTTCTGGAATAAGAGCAAGCGTATATCGTGGAAGAAAGGGCAACAGAGGATAAAATGAGTTTCATTCTCTATTTCTTCGAGGTCACAATAGTTACATAGTCTTTCCTCTTCCATTTCACCACAATAACAACCTGTTTCAATACGCAGGGGCAATATCCCTGATCTTACTTGTGCACATAGTGATCTCTTGCTTTTAGGTAGGTTGTACATAACGAATTCACCCTTAATCAAACAAAAGGTTTTCAATTTGGGTTTATGATTAATCTCCTCCACCCATTTAAAAAAACATAATATCTATGACTCCCTTAATTTGGTTTTCGTACAGATGTTCACAGTCAGACTGTTGGAAAAGGTCAGACATTTCAGTTGCCCAGGCTCCCGCTATGGATAGATCCCATTGAAAAACTTTACTGGCTATTCTGGCAATTCATCAACACAGAATAAAACAATTAATAAAAGTCCCATGATGGTAGTGACTGCCCATGACTGCTTATCACTTACTAACCATCAGTTATTCACATTACCTTACTTTAATAAAATATTTCAGTTGTTGTGTATATTACATTTGTTTTATTTGATGACATTATTATTTAATTCCAAGTCATCATCTCATCTCTATAGAGCTGCTGCCTATGCTGTCTGACAAAATCACTATTTTTGTAGTTCTTCAAAGTAAATAAGGCATACTTTTATGACTGCTGAATACCAACTATCAATCACTTAGATCATGTATTTTCAGGTACAGATACCTCACGAAGAAACTGCTCTCTATATATCCCCTCTTGATAGCGCATTCTTCCATCTCTTACGTAGCAGCCGTAAAAGAAACACAGACCGGACAAGTTTAGCCACGCAATGGATTATGGTCATTGTAGTTAGATTAGAGCAGAAAACTTGATAATTATATAGAACATTGGCCTGTTGGAAACTACAACTCTCTACTACATCGCACAGTTCGGGCATGATCTGATTTATCTCTAGAGAAACTGCAATGTGCGCGTTGAGCTCACAGGAGAAAAAACAGAACAAAATAGAATTCAAATAATTGAACCGACGTCGGTCAATGAGTTGGTTAAAAAAATAAAAATAACCGACATTTCAGTTAATCACTCAGCATTAACGGTTAGGAATGAAGACCGTCATGAAAATAAAATAACCATCATAACTGTCTTTTTTTTGTGTGTGTGGAACGAACAGCTGACAGAATATGGGACGGCCGGGCATTGACATGGACTCTTAACAACGTGATGAAACTTTGTTGCTCCTTGCTGAAAGAAGCAAGGTGTGTGAACCTCTAACCCTGGCAATTTGACTGGGTACACTCGCAATGGCCGCCTGGTATTGTGATACAATAATTTCCATTGTAATGTAAAATGTTCATTCAAATTATGTTAACTGATGTGGCTCATGCAATGGAATGTATTTTTTGTAATGTGAAGCAAAACAGACGGGGTTGGTTTAGAATCAAAGGATTGTTGTTCATGTAAACTATCATTCCTCTCCAAATCTTTATTGAAAACATAAATAGATTTGCACAATGACCACTTGTTGTGTCTCAAATACATCGTTACAGTTGTTGGTTAGCTAGCTTGCGAATTTTTGCCATATTAGCATAGACGTGACAAGAGTCAAAACACCTTAAAACAAGACATGGTATCAATAACAAAATAAAACGAGCTGAAACGAGTCACCTACGATTCCCCACATGGCAGCTTCTTGACATTGTTGCTAGCTATCTGACCGTCCAGAATCATAACAACACACGGCCCTCTGCCCCATCAACCCGCGTGCATTGTTTTTGTGATGTTGTCAGCTCCCTGTCTATTGATGGGTACACTTCCTGTTTTATCTTGCTTTGCTTCTATGCGTACACTCGCAATGGCCGCCAGTCCACTCGTTATGCCATCATTGACTTGAATGGAGACGCCCATTCTATTCTCATTCTATTTCTATGGCAGCACATGCAGTCAGGAGAGGAGGAGAGGAGAAAATGTGCGTCTTAAATATTAGAATGGTTATTGCTGTTATTACGGTGACCGCGGCCATTTGGCTGGCCAAGGCCTCAGGCTCACAATTTATGTTCTGGAGCCCACTACCACGCCCACTCCATGTTTCCAATGTTTCCAACCTCACGGGTTCATGACCCGTTTATTCGTGGCACTCGCCTTCAGGCACAACACAAGGACACTGTTTACTCCACAAAGATTTACAGTGTCACCTTTTAAACAGTCAGGCCCACTGGTGCCCCCTCCCCCTCTCCATTTCTCTATCTTTCTCCCTCTCTCACTCTCTAAAACACACACACACACACACACACACACACACACAGACACAGATGAATGGACAGATCTGCTGAGTGGGCTCACTCGTCTCCTCCCCTAGGGGGTCAGGCAGAGAGAGAGGGAGTGAGGAAACGAGGGAGAGAGAAGACGAGGTTACTGTAAATCTTACCCCTTTCACGCCTTTCAGGTCCCCCTTCAGCAGCGAGTCCAGGGTGAAGATCACATTATGGCTCAGGCTCTGGAGCTGAATAGATTGAGAGAGAGAGAGTTATACAGTGACTTGGTCACCAGGGCAAGAGTCAAGCAGCTACTGCTTCAGCTTTCAGCTGTAGTACATCACCACTTACTGACGGACCCAAGAAACCTTCACAGTTTTATCTTCAGTCTAAGGGTGAACTCAACCTTGGCTATTTAGGAGCCACTGAAAGCATTTTTTACTCTTAAAATGTGCTAAGCTATTAGCTACTTAGGAATCAGCTAAAGTAATTTGCTTACTCTAACCACATAGATTAATGCCGGTAATTATTCCTGAGCATTTATTCCATTTGGGTCTGTGATGGCCAGGGCCAAGTCCCATTGAGATCCATGGCTCCGGTCATGGAAACAAACATCACTTTATAATGTCCACTTAAGTGCCTCTGTTGCAAAGGCCCTATGTCCAAATCAATCACCTACTTACTGGCTGCTGCTCCAATATTAGAGCTGGCCTTGGTCTGTCTGGCTACTACTCACTACTTTTGCAGACCAACAGGGTGGTCTCCTTCCTCTCACACTGCACTCCAGAGAGAGGCGCCTTATTTAAGTGTGGTAAATACCACAAACTAATGCCAGCATATGAAGAGTTCACTCCATAAACGAGAGAGAGCGAGAGAGAGAGAGAGAGAGAGAGAGAGAGAGAGAGAGAGAGAGAGAGAGAGAGAGAGAGAGTGAGAGAGAGAGCAAAATGGCCGTCAGACTAATAGCAACGTCAACTGCTGGCTGCTCCAATGATCTTTAACCTCTGTAGATAACCAATGATAATGTATCATTCCATGACAGGTTCCTGTGAGGGAGTTATTAACATCAATACTCTGACCAATAGTAGTGCACACTGACCATCAGCCCTTGGGGAGCAGTTATGGAAACCGGAGGATATATTTAATAAACACTCAAATGACAACTGTGTCTGAAAATAGATCAGTGGGCATCTGTGCTTGGTCATGCATGTTGGTAGCCTTGCTTGCCAGTGTTCTAGGTGATTGATCCAAGAATTTAGACCTACACAGACCACACACATACACTAAATGGGTGATACACGAGAACATATAAAGGCAAATGTATGTCTTAGAAATATCTCATCCACTTAAGTGTGTCTGTATGATAAAGCGAGAGACAGAGAGAGGAAGGGAGAGAGAACAATATGTTTTACTTTGCATCGCTATAAGGGATGTCGAGAGTTGCTTGTCCTTTCACCACTATTACATGCAATATGTATACAACCTCCCCAGGCAGTGCCAACAAGTGACTGATTTATTAAGAGGGTTCCAGGGGAGCTCACACACAGTAGTCTGCAGCGGCTCAGTGTATTTATGGAGTCTAATCTCACTGCCAGACACACAGGAAGAGAGCAAGGGACAGCCGCTTCTTCCAACAACAATCACTCACACACACAGAATTCCAACAAGACTCATTTTTCAACAGAAACGTCAGGGGAATCTATGGCGGAGAGATAAGAGCAGACAAGCTAAAAGTTATATCCAGCAGCAGTCAGCCATATTGGGATGATCGCAATGACGCTTTAGTCAGGGTGGTATTTTACTTCGAAGAAATAGCTTGATAAGAGTGGATGATTCAGCGGGATTCTAAACTATTGCAGACGCATCTATTGAAGACACACAAGTCACACAAGCCCAAGTAATGCCCATCCCAAGATAGACAAAAACACAGACACCCTTATTTAAAGGACACCTTTTTGTTAAATACATTGTGAACATTGTGGAATTCACCGGCCAATAACAACTGATCTATCAGTCTTATGTATCTCACCAGGTTCTTGAGCAGGGTCGACAGCTCCTTGGTCAGGGTGGAGAACTTGACGAAAGCTGTTCCCAGGTCAGGGTTTTCTCGGCTGATGAAGTTGCTGCCAAACTTATCCAGAGCCTGGGCATAGTTCTCCTCATTCTGGACATGGTCTAGTGAAGAGAGAGGGAGAAACTCAGGGTTAGCATTCGGTTCAACAACAAGGGTAGTGGTGCTAGGCTCTGCGTCCCCTAATCCATTCATAGAGCACTACTTTTGATCAGGGCCCAAAGTGCTCTGATCAAAAGTAGTGCACTATATACAGTAGAAGGGTCCAAAGGACTCTGGTCAAACGTAGTGCACTATATAGGGAATAGGGTGCTATTTGGGAAACACCCAGGGAGAGGTGATCGTAGTCCAGCATGGAAAGGTTGACATTAGCCATCTGGTTACAAATGCAACAGCTTAGTGTGCTGTCTAATCACTTTTGCAACTTAAATCAGATTGTCATACTGTCAGGCTCAATATGTAGGGGTGGATCATGTTAACTGGGTGTAGGTGAATGGGTTGAAGAGGAGCATTGGTAGACTGCCATTTCATTAGGAAAAATGTATTGATGCATGATGCAATGGGGTCAGACTCCCATTCGTGGTTATAGGAGTACAGCTCCACCAGGGTCTACGTCACAAGTGTGTGTGTGTGTGTGTGTGTGTGTGTGTGTGTGTGTGTTTCTCCTGTCAGTGCTTGGTGTGTGCAGGTCTGCTTTCCCCATCATTGCTGCTTTCCCCATCATTCAAACAGTAGCACCCATCTGTACTTGTCATTAGGCACTAGGCGGAAACCGAGCATCTGGACAGTGACTGTGTTTGAACTGTATCCAGACTCTGACAGGAGACCTGAGAGAGAGGTCAGGTGAGAAGAGGCCCAGAAACCCCCTATTCAAGGCACTAACAACCTACAAATGAACTGACTTTATGTGGATAGAAGCTTGAAACTCTGAAATATTTAGTTTCATAAGAGGGCATAATTACTCACCCAGACCAGTCTATATATAGATAATAGCTTTTCAATGTCTTTCACAAGCACATCCTTCCTCAAAATCCTCTCTGGGATTGAAACCGGTAACCCTCTGGTTAACGAGCATAGAAAACTGACAGAGTGCTTTCTCTCACCTTGGCCTGAGCTGTAGATCGCCTTGACCGATTTCTTCACCTTCTGCAGCGCAGTCCTGTCCTGATCCAAAGCCTGTGAACACATAACGAGAGAGAGAGAGAGAGAGAGAGGGTTTTAAGGACTTATCGTAGCATCACAGACTGGACTTTTGTAACCAAAAGAGAACAACATTGTTATACTGTAAATGTTAGTCATTTCTGAGTATGAGGCTAATACACTGAATCCTATGAGCTATTTACAGTGATGCATAAAAACAGGCATAACAATGTACCAAATGCTAAAAAAGCACCAGTTGACCTAAATATGGCATTCAAAATGGCCAACGAAATTCTAAACGGTTAGATACAGTAGCATCATTAGGACAGTACTGCCTGAGGTAGTGCAGCTGTGTCTTACAATGCATCTCTTCTCCACTCTACTGAGTTTAACAAATGGAGAGCAAAACCATGAACCTTGCTATTCTGCTAGTCCTGCTATTCTGTTGGTGTTAAAAAATCTATAAATCGTACAAGTCTGAGATCTTAAACACACACACACAAATACACACATGCGCACACACACGAGCGCACATAGTATCTGTCCAGATCCGTGCCTTAGATTTACGTATTGATAAAATACTGGGAAACCCCAACAAGCTCTGCTGTACCTTGAGTAATGAAGTTTCTAGCACTCATTTACAGGGCCATATTTCCTTGATTATGATCTGTAGTAACACAGTGATTGAATCAAAGGCAGATGTTTGTTTACAGGCGGGCGGCCATGTTGTGTTTAGTGCTGCCTGGTCTGGCCTGTGTCTGCATCCCAAATGGCACCCTATTCCCTTCATAGTGCACTATACAGTATAGGAAATAGGGTGCCAGTTGGGACGCAGCCTTCGATACCGACCTCCAGATCCTCTCACCGCACAGAGCGTGCAATTAAGAGAACGCTGACGTCATACTTTTATCGCCGCAGAGGGCAAAGCTACTCTGCAACTCTGTTCTCGGCTCACAGCACTACTAACGCCTACATGGAAATGTGTTTGTTATCAAAATTTCGGAGAAGAATTATGTGCAGAATCTCTGTGCAGTTAATGTTGAGTGAATTGTGTTTTTCGATATATTGGTTTCTGTATCATTCGCCACAGAGCCAGATTCATTGACTGGGAGGTTGGATCTGCCAAAACAAATGCTCAGGTTAAGAAGATTTGATAGCATCACAAACAGTACTTTCACACACACACACACACACACACACACACACACACACACACACACAGATCATCGATGAAAGCACTTACGGTATTCTATCCCTTAGATTCAAAATGTTTCATTTTCACATACTCTACATTTGGTTTTTAAATGCATCCTGATCCACAGTAAATCAAGGTATATTTATGCTTTCCTCTTTCTCTGAGGTAAAAAACTATCCATATTTCACTCATTAAAACGGAAACTCACAGAACCACACTGCCACATTCACTTATGGAGAAGATAAACACCAACATAAATACATTACATTAGGACCCTCTGGTCGGATGGAAGGCACGCTACAACGTCAGTGGAGCTCATTACATTTCATAAATTATAATTAAGCCTGGCTTCGGTTGGCCCCCGGACAGTTTAACGTGGCTCTTCCCCAATTATGGCTGCAGTAGTGCATGGCCGTGGGGCCCTTTCTCCCAGGGCACTGTGCTTTGATCTCTCTCTCTCTAACGCAGGAGCACGACCTGGCGCAAGTGTATGTACCAGTAAAATGAGTGTCTGCTGTGTACGCATGGAGAAGGCAACCTTGTAGAGAGTGATGTTGGTATAATCAACACCCCTTTCATAAATCTTAGCCTATATTATCGAACACATTTATTTGGCTTTCGCAGTACTCCATTGTCTACAATCTGGCAAACAACCTGTTTATCCCTCTCTTCTGCTTAGTGAAATACTAAATAATGATAATATGATGAGAACATAGGTTACTGCAGACCAAGGACACAGACAAGGTCATACACATCATGGTGGACCCCTTGACACCCTAATCCATGAATGATTATTCAGAGGCAGTAGAGTGAGATGACTTCTCCAGAGAGAACTAAGGCAAGGCGGGCAGCAGCAGGCAGACTGCCTCTCTAATGGTGTTACAGAGAGAGAGGGAGAGAGGGAGAGAGAGAGCGAGAGAGAGCGAGAGAGAGAGAGAGAGAGAGAGAGAGAGAGAGAGAGAGAGAGAGAGAGAGAGAGAGAGAGAGAGAGAGAGAGAGAGAGAGAGAGAGAGAGAGAGAGAGAGAGAGAGAGAGAGAGAGAGAGAGAGAGAGAGAGAAGCAAGCAGCTGGCACCCCCGCCAAAGTTCACCCATAATCCTGTCTGTGTCTGCTTTGCCCTAATTAAATATTCCGCTTTGATATGAACATGCTTTTACATTAGTACGGAACATGCTACGTCGACTTGATGTTACAGGGGCAGGGATGTCGGATGATGTGTGTGCTGGGTACCCAGGGTCCTTAGAGGCCTTTGTCCTATAACACTAGCATCAGTTTTCCCACAGAGCAAACCACATGTTCATTGATGCCATTTATAATTGACGATGAAGCGACATACAGTATGTGTCAACCGTATGGATTTCAGTTACGACTGAACAAGGTCAATCGTCGATGACATTACTGGCATTCAAAATAGCTAGGCCTACATATTCATCACAGCAGTACCGACTTTGAGATGCTTTCAGGAAAATTCACAACCAATATCCACACATTCTCATTCCAATCTGTCGTGGAAACCCACATTTGTAGGTTTGCTGTAATATATGCGAGCAAATGTCAAGGAGGAGAAACGCTAGATGTGTAGGAGGGAAGGAGATTTGGCTTTGAGCATTCAGCTCAAGTCTCCAAAGGACAAAATAGTTAAATGGAACACAGCTAACTTGGCACAGAGTCCTCTGCACCCCCTGGCAACCAGTAAGAATGCATCTCAACTCTGGCAAGAATGCCTCACAAAGCCTGCAAACTATTCAATATATTCAATGCTTTGTTCTGATCGACCAACGGCCAATGTTAAGCTCTGACACAGCCTAGTGTGATTGGTGAGTGTGTGGGCCAATGAGTGCAGATCTAGATCTGAATACTCAACTAAAAACAAGAGTTGGGGGATAGAGATGTTTTATACGTAATATTCTAAAAGGGTGCCTACAGCAGCTCAAAGTACATGTTCCTGTGCGGATTCCCCTGTGAAACGTCTATGACCATGAAAGCCCATTTTGTGCTGCAGTGAAATCCAACACGTCAGTGTCAGCATGTTGTTAAAGCGCCAGTCTGACCTCACAGGGACAAGAACCCAACCCAAGGAGGTCAAGGACCCAGCAGGGAGAGGTCAGAGGTGAAGGACACTGGTCACTGGTCATTGTGGCTGAGCGTGATGGGACACAGAAGGGTAGAGATGCTGCAGCTTCAACACTTCCTGGAGTTCCTGCCTTATCCTCCCAGTGCAGAGCAGACCTGGCATTCCCCCTCCAGCCCTCCTTCCACAGGAAACAGGAAGCAGCAGGCCTGACTTTCACTGAGAAGTCGCTATGTCCCGGTCTGGTCTCTCTCTTAGTTATGACCAATGTTCCCTCTAAGCTGCGCACAGCTCCCTGGGACTGCCGTGCAGAAGAAATATCAGCCTGCGCAGAGAAGCACGAGACTGAACTTCACTCAACTCTCTAGAGTATTCCCCCTTAGTTAACACTATCAACGTTTCCCTTTACTGTGGGAATTGTGATCGAATCAACGCAATATTAGCCACTTTCAATGCAACATACCGAAAAAAGACGACCTATGCAAGATATTTTGTTGTAGGCAGAATGCATCGGAGTAGGATTCTATTGCATTGACACTCACAACTCAGCCTGTTGTCACGCCCTGGCTCTGGGGACTCTTATATGTTGAGCCAGGGTGTGGATTTTCTATGGGTGATTTTCTGTGTTGTGTTCTAGTTCGTGTTTTCTATGTTGGCCAGGGTGGTTCCCAATCAGAGGCAGCTGATTCTCGTTGT